TCCTCCTCCTCCTCCTCCTCCTCCTCCTCCTCCTCCTCCTCCTCTGAGAACAACGACAGTGAGCCCAGCGGCCACGAGCGGCCAGAGATCCGGACGTTGCGTAATGGGTGGGGTGTGATAAATTGGGGGGGTCAGAAAGGTCGCAGGTTGATAGACCCACCCTGACACGTCGATTAAGAAATTGGCCGTTTTCGGCTCGCGAGAGGGCGCCGCGGCCGTCATTTTTGCGTGTCCAGGTCCGTCGGTCTCGGTCCCAGGTCGTTTTCACTAAGGGGAGCTTAAAGGGAGGTTTGTCCACCGCCGAGGGGACGAAGAGGGCGAGGAGGAGAACCACGACAGTGCGCCCCGAGGCCACGAGCGGCCAGAGATCCGGACGTTGCGTAATGGGTGGGATGTGATAAATTGGGGGGGGGTCAGAAAGGTGAACCTTCTGTGCACCTTCGGGGCCCTACCCGGGGGGGTCCCCTGGGGCTCACCATGGGCAGGAAAGTTGCGCGCGTCTTCGCCTCCCCGTTCATCGCCCCCCCCCGTCAGCAACGCCCAAGAGATCGCCAGGGAACCTCGACGCTGGAACCTCGATCCCTGACCCTCGAAGCTTCGACGGTTCCAGCCCTCGAGTCTGGAGCGCTCGACCCTCAATCCCTCGAACCTCGACCCCTCGGACGCTCGAACGCTCGAATCTCGACCTTCGTCCTTCGAACACTCGACCCTCGAACCCTCGAAATTCTAAGTCCGACCCTTGGAGCCTCGAACCTCGATCCCTCGACCCTCGAACCCTCGATGGTGCTGACCCTCGAACCCTCGAGCTTCCCACTGTCGATGCCTCGACCCTCGAACCCTCGACGGTGCCGACCCTCGAACCCGCGAACCTCGAACCCTCGAACCTCGAACCTCGCCCCTCGAACCTCCAACCCCCTTAGCGAAGGGGCGGCACGCTGCTGGTGGGGCTCTCGAGGGCGGACCACCGGCTCGTTGTCTTCAACGCCGACAGGGCCGCCGCCCCCCCCCCGGGACGGTCCGAATGGCCAGGGAAGGGCGAGGAGGGGATGGCGGTGATCAATGCTGATGGCGATGGTGACGGTGATTGTGATGGCGATGGTGGTGATGGTGACGGTGATTGTGATGGTGATGGTGGCGATGGTGATGTTGTTGATGGTGATGGTGGTGGTGGAGGTGGTGGTGATGGTGGCAATGATGGTGATGGTGATAGTGATGCTGATGCTGATGCTGATGTTGATGCTGATGATGGTGGTGGTGTTGGTGATGGTGGTGGTGGTGTTGATGATTGTGATGGTGGTGGCGGATTTGGAGATGCTGCTGTTGATGATGCTGCTGATGGTGGTGATGGTGGTGGCGGTGGACGTGGTGGTGGTGATGATGATCAGCATGATAATCATGATGATAACGATGAGGACGAGGATGAGGATGATGAGGATGAGGACGAGGATGAGGATGAGGATGAGGAGGATGGTAGTGGTGGTAGAGGTGATGATGATGTTGTTGATGATGATGGTCGTGATGCTGATGCTGTTGATGATGATGAGTACGATCGTGACGATGCTGATGATGCTGATATTTTTTATGATCGTAATGGCGATGAGGATTCGGAGGAGGAGGGGGATGGGCATGAGGATGTCGGTGCTGGCAGTGATGATGTTGATGCTGCTGCTGATGATGATGATGATGACGAGGGGGAGAAGGAGGAGGATGGTGGTGCTTCTGATGATGCTGATGCTGATGCTGATGATGAGAGTGGTGATGTTGTTGACGACGGTGATGATGATGATGATGATGATGCTGATAGCGATGCTGTTGCTGAAGTTGATGGTGACGCGCATGCTGATGATGATGATGGTGACGACGATGATGGTGATGATGACGATGCTGATGATCATCATCATGACGACGATGATGATGCTGTTGATGGTGATGGTGGTGATGAGTATTATGATGATGCAGGTGGTGATGGTGGTGGTGACGGTGAGTATAGCAATGGTGATGATAATGATGGTTCCGATGATGCTACTGATGCTGCTGTTGATGATGTTGATGACGGCGGTGGCGATGTTGGCGATGATGTTGTTGTTGTTGATGATGATTATGATGCTGGTGGTGATGGTGATGGCCGTTGGGGTGGAGATGGTGGTGGTGGTGATGATGACGCTGATGGAGATGATGACGCTGATGATGATGAGGCTGATGATGATGATGATGATGATGATGATGATGATGATGATGATGATGATGATGATGATGATAATGGTGATGATGATGGTGATGGTGATGGTGGTGGTGATGGTAATACTGGCTATGGTGATGGCGGTGGGGGTGGGGGAGTCATGATGATGATGATGATGATGCTGATGCTGATGTTGATGATGATGATGCTGATGATGATGATGATGATGATGATGATGATGCTGATGATGATGATGATGATAACAATGGCGAGTATGAGGATGCTGAAGATGTTTGTGATGGTGATGATGATCATGACGATGAGGAGCAAGAGGGAGGAGGCGACGGAGGAGGAGGAGGAGGAGGAGGAGGAGGAGGATGGAGGAGGAGGAGGAGGAGGAGGAGGAGGGGGTTTAAGCTGAGAAGTAGGAGGATGAGCAGCAGCGGGCTCAGTATCCGAAAGACTTGGGACGATGCCCGAGAACAAGTCTTGTCTGTTTTGGAAAGGATTCGCTGCCGACATCGCCGAGGGCGTTGTCGAATTGACACAACAATTTGCCTGCCTAACAGAAGCCGCCGTCGGTTTTGGGCAACATTTGCTGGTGGGCATCGTCCAATTCCTTGTCCGTGCCCATGTCGGGCCTTCCCCCCTCCCGCAATTCACGCAAGTTGGCGCAGGCCAAATTACGACGACAACCTTGGCCAGAGAGGCCCCCAAACTCAGGAATGGCGCACTCGCCCAATACGCCCTCTCAGTTCAGTCAAGTTGGCGAAGGGCCAACTGGGAAGACAACGGTTCCCGCTGGACACTTTCTCACAATTCACTCCGAGACACCTTGGCCAGGGAGGCCCCCAAGCTCGCGCAGTTGAGTCAAGCTGGCGAAGAAGGAATTTCGACGATTCACTCCGAGACACTCTGGCCAGAGGCCCCCAAGCTCGCGCAATTGAGTCAAGCTGGCGAAGAACGAACTTTGACGACAACGGTTCCCGCTTGATACGTCCTCGCAATTTACTCCCACGCTCCATGGCTGGATGCTTCCTACATTCAGGGAGGGCGTGCTATACTAAGTGTTTCTCCCAGGAGGTGGTATGACGTTGAGCCCACTCCAAAGATGTGGTTGGTTGATGAACTTAGAGGGTGGGCATCAGGGAGGAGAGACACACAATGAGCTCAAAGCAGCTTGTTAATTCACATATTCGCGGGGTCGTCGTCGTCGTCGTCGTCGTCATTCCCATCGCCCGTAATCTGTCGCCCGTCGTCGTCGCCGCCGACGACGTCGTCGTCGTCGTCGGCGTCCTGGGGGGGGAACATGTTTTGATCCTGGGGACAGGTCTTTGTCCTTCCGGGGTGCCCTCGCCGCCACCCACGGACGAATTCGCCTCGAACTCCTGCTCAGAACGCGCTCCACGGCAGGTCTGGGGGTCGATTTCGAGTGGCCGTTGTCGTCGGGGTCGTTCTTGCTTGGCTTTGTTTGACCCCAGCTGGCGCGGTTCGGGACCATTTGCCCCATCGCCGTTGATACCACCAGCATGCAGAAGTGATGCACGAAGCCTCGGTGCAGGGAGAAGCGATCAATGAAGGTGTGGGAGGGGCTGGGTAGGAGGAAAGGAGTGGGGAAGGGCTTGAGGAGGAGAGGTGGCAGGACGAGGGGGGGATAGTCAGAGGAGGCAGCCAGGGTAACGTCGCTGGCAGCGGCGGTGGCACCAGGGACATCAGAACAATAGAAGCATACCAGCAGGATCAGTGTGGCCTGGAACCCGGTACCCAGGGCCTTGATTTGGGCATCCTATTTCGCGTGGAGCGCGTGTCAGATTCGATGCGTCGGGAGGCGAAACTAACGCACAACGCATGGGTCCAACACGCTTGCTGTCAGCGGCCAGCGAAGACGATCAACGCGGTGACGGGCCAGTGTTGGGCCGTGCCAGCAGCTGATCGAGCCCCGCGCAAGATAGCGAAGCAGTAAAAGGACAACGCCCGGCATGACCATACATTTTCGGACTGTTGGAGGTCCGCGCCGATTCAAGAATTCCGAGCCGAGCTCCGAATGTTTTCGTTTAAGTATGCACTTTGTTCTTCATCTAAGCAGGTGGTTGGGGGGCAGCCTCATTGGAGGAGGATTGGGGGGTCACCAGCCCCTCTTTCCCACCCTTCTCTTGCAAGGCGTATGATTGATCATATCGGCCCGGGCACGTAGTCCATGCATCCCCCCAAGAGGGAGGAGGCAAGGGGAAGGACTTGATGGGGTGGAAGCGTGGTGGTGGAGGGTGGAGGCGGAGCGTGGCAGGAGGAAGCAGGGGGGAGCCGGAGAGGGAGGATGGGCATCAGGAGAAGCCAGGGGAAAGGGAGGTCTTTTCTTCTACTAGCATCAAGCCCACACGCTGTGGGGAGCACCCCGCCAGAAAATCGTAAAGCACCCCTGATGGAGTGGAACCCAAATGTTTCGTATCAGAGGCGGCAAGTGCCGGCAAACGGTGCCTTGGCCAGCCAGGGCCCGATGCACACCAACTCCAGATCTACAGCATATTATTTTTCTAACCCAGGGAGCCCAGAGCTTCCCTTGGCTCTTATCAGGGATCAGCCCTCGCGCGGACCGTTTTCTGACGAGCCCGTGGCACAGGGAGCGCCCCCCCCCCCCAGAGGCCGAAGCACAGGAAGAACGCCTGGATCAACAAGCCTTCGCCCGCCGGGGATCTGGGAACGCTCCCAGCAAGGCGAGCGGCGGAAGAAAGCGGGGCCGCCTTCGCCGACCTTGGCGCGTGCGCAAGTCCGCGCGTAAGCGCCGCGTCCTTTGAGTATTCTTTGCGTTTGTTTGATTTTTTCGTCCAGAATCCCCCTGCAGGGAGACACGCCCGACTCAAGCGTATAGGACCTGCCTGTTCTTGTCGCCCAGGCGGCCGGTGTCTGCTCTCCCGGTCCGGCGGCGCGAGGGCCTGGCGCCGCAGGTGTGCACACGGGGCCGGGCCGGGCCCTCCCTGCCGGGTGGGCCCAGGGCGGGCCTCGCCAGGAACGGCGCGCGCGTGGCGCGGCAGAGCGAGCAAGAAGGGCCCCGGGAGGGGGAGGGGAGGAGGGGGAGGAGGAGGAGGGGAAGGAGGAGGAGGAGGAGGGGGAGGAGGAGGGGGAGGGGGAGGAGGAGGAGGAGGGGGAGGAGGAGGAGGAAGAGGAAAAGAAGGAAAAGAAGGAGGAGGAAAAAGAGGAGGAGGAAAAGGAGGAGGAGGAGGAGGGAATTCCAGGGATTCCGCCATCGCGTAGCGATACAATTTACGACAACACACGCCCCCCCTGAGCTTGCCGCAGAAGCCGACGAACAAAAAGTAGACGCACTTCAACCCACACACGGCCAGCTGAAAGAGAAGCCCGTGGAACACCGAGATGCTACCGCGGATGGGTCCCTCCAGACAGCGACAGCGCCCACGGTGCAGAAAATCACACAGCATGGCACAGGTTAAGCTGAGATGAATTCGACTCGATACGGCCCTTTATCAGGGTGAGAACACCACTGGTCATCGGGCAACCCAGACGGATCGCCTCCTCTACAGACAGCCTCACCAACTGCCAATACCAAAGGACCGCAACACAGCAAGCGAGAGGCGGTGTGTTCACCCCTTCAATACAACCAGGTGGACACATGAGAAGCCTAAGTCAACTGAATTGGAATAGCTCCCAGACCCACGCTCCATCGAAAAGGCCGCCGCCCGAGTGTGTCTTAGATGGGCTCGAAGCCCCCATGCCCCTCGGTTGCGGACTGGATGCCGAAGAAGGCCAAGGAGAGCACCACGACGAACACAGCCGCGCTCCGCCGCCCGAGTGGGACTTAGATGGGCTTGAAGCCTCCGTGCTCCTCGGTGCGAACGGGATGCCGAGGAAGGTGTTCGGGAAAGTGCGAACATTGAAACACAAAACTGCAATAACCTGAATTCGCCCATTCTTGCCGTCCCACACCGAGAACAACTATCTTAAGAACGGTTTTGTGTGGGAGCCCCCCAAGCGCCACGAGAAGGCAATGGGCTGGGTGTTCCATGGCTAGCTCGAGCCCAACTCGGTACGATGCCTTGGGCAACCCGTGCTTGAGGGGAGGAGGAGGAGGAGGAGAAGAAACAGAAAGGAGAGGAGGAGGAGGAGGAGGAGGAGGAGGAGGAGGAGGAGGAGGAGGAGGAGGAGGAGGAGGAGGAGGAGGGGGCGGCGCCCCACTGGGAAGCGGACGAGTGAGAGAAGGGGGGCGGCGCCCCACTGTGAAGCGGACGAGTGAGACAATCAAGCAGTGGCGAAGCGTCCTGGCTCACCTATAGCCCCACCAAGCAATGTTCTAAGAACCTTTGGTGGTTTCCACGAAATATTCTTAGAACATTTCTTGCTGGGACGTGTCTTGGTTTAACACATCGGGCTTATGTCTTAAGACTATTGTTTTTGTTTATATATAGCATTTTGGGTTCTAAGAACATCTCGTGGTAGGACTATAGGAATGCCAGGACGGTCGGTCCCTGCTCAGGAGAAGGCAGTCCCGAGTTCTCTGAGGAGGGAAAGGTACGGATACCGCTCTCCTTGCCCCGGTTCGAGAGCCCTGGGACGGGGGTCAATGCCAACGGGGGTCAGCCAGGGCGCTGGATCTTGCAGGATCCTGCACATCCAGGGGTGCACTGACCCGGGCGAGCGCGCGGGATCCTGCAGGATCTTGCAGGATTCTGCAACGCCCGACTGACCGCGGTTTGGACTGACCCGGGTCAGTAGATCCCCGATCAATCTCGCCCGCGAGGGCCTCCTGGGAGGCCCTCGTCGCCACGGCTGGATTCGGGGGAGGTCTGGGGAGCAGAGGTGGGGGCATTTTCTGTGTCCCTTGGCTCGTCGTCGTCGTCGCACTCGGGGCCGCCCGGCCGCAGCCAGCGACCCAGACGAGAGGCAACTGCTTGTCTACTCCTCCCTGACCGATTGGTCTGCCGGCGTGGTCGCACCACTGCGTGGCCGGCGTCCTCCCTGCGCTGCCGGCGCGGCGGCGCCCCTCCCTGCCCGAGGAAAGAGGAGGAGGCGGAGGAGGAGGAGGAGGAGGAGGAGGAGGAGGAGGAGGAGGAGGAGGAGGGGAGGGGGAGGGGGAGAGGTAGGAGGAGGAGGAGGAGGAGGAGGAGGAGGAGGAGGAGGAGGAGGAGGAGGAGGAGGAGGAGGGAGGAGGAGGAGGAGGAGGAGGAGGAGGAGGAGGAGGAGGAGGAGGAGGAGGAGGAGGATGGAGGAGGAGGAGGAGGAGGAGGAGGGGGGAGCGGGCGGCCGCAGGCCGAGCTCTGCGACCAGTGCGAGAGGCCCATCGCCGTCGGCTCGCGCACTCGGCGGGCCCCCGCTCGGCCCGCGGTGGCCCCTGGTCCTGGTGCGAGGGGGCACCCGGCGGCGAGGGCGGGTCCGCGCAGGGAAGGGAGCACGGAGTGAGCGACCGGGTGGCCAGTCCGATGGCAGTGCCGGGTGGTCAGGCTCGGGAGCAGCCCGGGAACCAGAACTCGGGAGGAGGAGGAGCAGGAGGAGCAGGAGGAGCAGGAGGAGGAAGAGGAGGAGGAGGAGCAGGAGGAGCAGGAGGAGGAGGAGAGGAGGAGGAGGAGGAGGAGGAGGAGGAGGTGGAGGAGGAGAGGAGGTAGGAGGAGGAGGAGGAGGAGGAGGAGGAGAGGAGGAGGAGGAGGGTGAGGAGGAGGAGAGGAGGAGGAGGGAGGAGGAGGAGGAGGAGGAGGAGTAAGAGGAGGAGGAGGAGGAGGAGGAGTAGGAGGAGGAGGAGGAAGAGCATTTCGGGCTCAGTCGTGGGGCTCCGGTTTTCGGGCCGCTTCCCGGATGCAGGTCGCGGAGCCCGTTCGTGGCCGAGGCTCGCCGTGGCCAGTCGAGCCCCTTCGCGGTAGCGCGGTGACTGTACTCCTGCTTCGCGGGGCGTGCCTCACCACCCACCAAACCACCCCAGCCCAACCCGAAGCCCTCAATTTGCCGTCCATTTCCAGTGGGGGGGTCGGTGAGCGTTGAAAAAACACACGGGATCCGTACCCCCCCCAAACCCGAAATTCGGGTCAAATTCGGGTCTTCGGGTTGGGTTGGGGTGGTCTGGTAGGTAGTCAGTACCGTCCAGAGCACGTAAAGATTGGGCGTGAGGCAGTTTGCCCTGCATGTCTGACGACAACGGAGTTGAACGATCCAGGACCTACCAGTTCGAGCAGGCTTCGTCGTGCGAGCTGGGTACCGCCGGCTGCCTTGTGCCCAGTATGGCTCTCCGGGTTTCTCCCCCCTCCCGTCTGGAAGTGTCTCAAGTCTTGCATGTGCCCCCCCCCTCCCCCAGGGGCTTTTTTGTGGCAGCGTCGCCATGGACGGATCTGCGCCCCATCCTGGCGACTCTGTCCTTGAGCGTGCTGGATGGGCGGTGGTCCAAGTGGGCCGCCATGTGGGTAACGACGTCGTCCAGCAGGCTGGCTGTTCAGACGTGTTCGCGTTTCTGATGCTCTTGAATTTGGGGGTGGGGCCTGTGACTGTAGCGTGCGACTGCAAGGTAGTGGTCGACATTTGGGACCAGGGGCCGCTTCAGTCCCTAGAGGGCATGGCTCACTCTGAGCTTTGGTGGCAGATTCTTTCCAAGTCCCAGGACCTCTTGACCCTGGTAACTGTGTAGAAAGTTCGCGGCCACCAGTCCTGGGCCAAAGCTAACATTCAGGGCTGTGCATGGCGGGCCTGGAGGGGCAACTGTGCGACTGATCGTTCAACCAAGGTAGGAGCCCGAATGCACCCGGTGCCTCAAGCCATGGCATATGAGCGCAAGGCGCAGGACCTCCGCTCCCCGCGGTCGGGCCCTTTTGCTGCCTGGGATCGGCGGCGCCCCAGGGTGCTCTTCGGGGGTGCGGACAGGTTCATGGCCAAGATGCCCACACCTCTAGCCGAGCTTGAAGTAGTGAACAGTTAGGTGGGCAAGAGATTCGCCTGCGCCAGGTGTGGAATAAAGAGCAGCTGCTTGTGCGTTCCCGTGTATTGGTTTGCCCAGGCCCGCCCTCCGCGCCCATCATTCACAACGCCTTTGGTGCGGATGAGGGGGCGGGATCTTGCGTTCAATTTGTATTATCTCTCCTGTGTTTGTACCACGTGGTGCGTCAGCAGGCTGTGGTGCGCCAAGGGCTGAAGGTCTCAAAGAGGAGGAGGAGGAGGGAAACAAGGAGAGAGGAGGTGGATGATGACCAGGACGATGATGCTGGGGATGATGTTGGTAATGGTGATGGTAATGATGGTGATGACGATGTTGGTGGAGAAGATGGTGATGTTGGTGTAGATGTTGTTCCTAATCGGAATGATGATTGTGCTGATGGTGGTTACCATTCTGATGATTGTGATGGTGATGGCTATGGTAATGGTGATGGTGGCGGTGATGATGATGATGACGATGACGATGACGATGCTGATGCTGATGCCGATGATGGTGATGATGGTGATGTTGATGGTGACGATGATGATGGTGATGCTGATGGTGATGCTGATGATGCTGGTGGTGATGATGCTCTTGCTGTTGCTGATGATGGTGATGATGATGATGCTGATGACGAGGAGGAAGATGAAGAGGACATAGAGGCGGAGGCGGGTGATCAGGAGGGATACGGGCAGTAGGGTGAGGAAGGGGATGGTGAGAACGATGATGCTGATGCTGATGTTGCTGCTGCTGCCGTTGCTGATATTGCAGATCCTGATGATGATGCTGCTCCTGGTGGTGACGATGGTTCTGATGCTGACGGCATTGATGATACTGCTTATGTTTCTGATGAAGGTGATGGTGATGGTGATGGTGACCTTGGTGGTGACCGTGGTGGCTGTGATGACAATGATGAGTATGCTGCTGCTGGATGTGATGATGATGACGATGATGATGATGACGATGATGATGCTGATAATGATGCTGACGAGGGTGAGGATGATGATGAGGATGAGGATCAGGATAATAGTGATGAACACGACGACGACGATGATGATGATGATGAGAAAGAGCGTGTTCTACCGCTGCTGGCTGAAAACCGGGGGGGGTCACTACCGGTTCGAAACCGGGTTCGAACCCCTCCCCCCCCCCCCCCTGCTCATCATGAAAAGGGGGGGGGGTCACTACCGGTTCGAACCCCCCCCCCCCTCCGGATCCGGAAAACCGGGGGGGGTCACTGCCGGTTCGAACCCCCCCCCCTCGAAAACCGAGTGGGGGTGCGGACAGTGGTGGGGACGGTGTTGGTGGGGACAGTGGTGAGGGGATAGCGGGACAGTGGTGGGGACAGTGGGACAGTGGGACGGTGGTGGGGACGGTAGTGGTGGGGACAGTGGTGGGGACAATGGTGGGAACAGGGGGGGACAGTGGACAGTGGTGGTGACGGTGGTGGTGGGGACAGTGGTGTGGGGACAATGGGAATGAGGTGGAAACAGTGGGACAGTGGAGGGTACAATGGTGGTGGGGACAGTGGTGAAGGCGGTGGCGAGGACGGCGGTGGGACAATGGGACAGAGGTACAGTGGGGACAGTGGTGGGGACAGTGGAGACAGTGGTGGGAACAGTGGGACAGCTCAGTGGGACAGCGGAGGAGTCAGTGGGACAGTGGGGACATTGGGGATAGTCGGGCAGTGGTTGGGGCCGTGGAGACAGTGGGGAGAGTGGAACCGTGGTGGGAACAGTTCTGGGGACAGCGGGGACAGTGCGACAGTGGTGGGGCCACTGGTGGGGACAGTAGGGGCGGTGGTGGAACCAGTGGGGACAGCGGTGGTGAGGACAGTGGTGCTGGGAACACCAGTGGGGGATGTGATGCGGACGGTGGTGGGGACCGGGAGTCGTTTGCTGGCGGTGAGTAGGGTGGGTGGGGTGGGGTGGGGGGGGGGGGGGGGGGTTCGAACCGGTAGTGACCCCCCCCCGGTTTTCCGGATCCGCAGGGGGGGGGGGGGGGGGGGGGGGAGGGTTCGAACCGGTAGTGACCCCCCCGGTTTTCGAGCGGGAAGGGGGGGGGGGGGGGGGGGGGAGGGGTTAGGGGAGGGGGGGGTTTTGCCGGGGGAGGGGGGGGGGGGGAGGGGGTCCAGCAGGGGGGGGGATTTTCGGAGGGGGGGGGGGGGGGGGACCCCCGGGCTCCGGAGGAAAAGGTTGGCAATTTTCCACAGTAAAGCGGCGGTGGATCACGCTCTCTCTCGATGATGATGATGATGATGATGACGATGCTGCTGATGATGATGATGATGATGATGATGATGATGATGATGATGATGATGATGATGATGATGATACTGATGCTGATGCTGATGCTGATGCTGAGGCTGAGGCTGAGGCTGAGGCTGAGGATGAGGATGAGGATGAGGATGATGCTGATGCTGATGCTGATGCTGATGCTGCTGATGATGATGGTGGTGGTGGTGATGATGATGCTGATGATGATGATGATGATGGTGGTGGTGATGATGATGATGATGATGATGCTGATGCTGATGCTGATGCTGATGCTGATCGGTCTGTCCCCCTTATGTCTTTTCGGTGACCTGCTTTGGTCCGATGGACTGCGCCTTCTGGGTAGCCGATCTTTTCCGCACGAGAGGCTGGCCTTCGTTTCGCCGTGGCATGCCCCCACTGGCTCCTGGGTGCTTTGTGGTCGCTCTTGGGACGTCTCGCGAGGGCCCCAAGATCTCTGCTGAGAACAAGACTGCCCATGGTGGCCTCAGGGCGGTCGACCAGCTCCCAGCGCCGCCCGAAAAGGGTTTCAGAGCGAGCCCCAAGTCCCTTGAAGTCCTCTCGATCTTTGCTATTTGGGTTTCAGACGGGTTATTGGCTTTCTCGCTGTTCCAGGCCTCGAAAGCTCAAACCACCCTCCCTGGAGGCCCAAAGATCGCCCCAGCATGACCCCCAAAAGGGTTCTAATGGGGCGGCACGACTGCTCAAGAGGTGCCCAAGAGGGCTCACAGGAGGTGCCCCCGAGGGCCGTGGAACCCCCAGCGTGTCAACCAGTCCCACGACGGACACATGCAGGCGCAGTCCCCGTGGCTGTACGCTGCGCCCTGGGGGGTGCGGAAGATCCTGAACAATATCGACGGCCGCTACCACCACCCAGAGGTCTACATCACCGAGGGCGGGTGGCCTGGTCGACATCGGCGGACAACGACGAGGAAGGTGCCGACGACCAATAGCGGGTCGAGTACTACGCCGTGTACACGTTTGAGATGCGAAAGGCGATCTTTGGAGCTGGCGTCGACGTTCGGGGGTATTTTGCTGGGTCTTTCGTTGACAATTGTGAGTGGAGAGCGAGCTACGAGGAACGCTTCGGGATCACCTTCTGCGATTTTGGCTCTAGTGTCGACAGCAACGGGCCCAGTGAAGTCACGATGCAGCCCATCGAAGGCACTCAGGTGACCCGAAAGAAGGAGTCGAGCTGCTGGCTGGAGCGGGTCTGACCAATGCGCTGGTGGGCCCCGCCACGAGAGACTACGGTGGCTGCGTTGACTCAGGCGTTTTCGAGAAGAGGTTCGTGGAGATGACGCACCACTGCAGGTGGGAAATCACCGTCGATGCAGGCGGGCGCACGGGGCAAGTGACTGGCTCCGCTCCTGGCTCCACCGACGGCGTCTGCCATCGATCGGGGGTCGACGTCGAGTGGCCCTTTCCCAGGGACCGTAGCCCTCATTGGAGGCACGATCACTGCCAACTGCTCGGCGGCGGGCGGCTTCGCGAGGCTGGCCGGCTACTGGAGGGCCCAGCCACCGGGCATCTTACGGGACGGCAGCGCGTGGCTATTGGACTTGGCATCGCTCGGACGTGTGCAGTTTCCTTTCTGCGAGGACCATCGAGGAGCATCCTTGATCACTTGGCGAAAAAAACACGCACGAAACCGAACGAAAACACGGGGAATGGACGTCCGAGCGATGGCCAGTGGAGGGCTCCAAGGAGTTCCGAGAGTCCGAATCTCGGGACGCCGTCTTCGTCAGACAGGTGTGGGCGCCCGAGCGACGGCCGCACGGACCCGGCGGCGTGGCGCCCCGGGCCAGGCCGGGCGGCGCCCGTGCAGCTCTTCCGGGCGAGGCCGAGTCCCGTGCGCCTGCCCCTGCGGCACCGCACGGCGCCTTTGAGACTCGGTGTCCTAGGAGGAGGAGGAGGAGGAGGAGGAGGAGGAGGAGGAGGAGGAGGAGGAGGAGGAGGGGGAGGAGGAGGAGGGGGAGGAGGAGGAGGAGGAGGGAGGAGGAGGAGGAGGAGGGGGAGGAGGAGGCTGATCCTTCGCTGCCGGTGGTCAGGAGCGAAAGAAGGACGTACACGTACATGAGTCCACGCTGGTTTCGAGAGTTCGCATTGCCCGAAAGTTCGTATCACGCGGCCGGTCTCGCAGATCGAGGCGCCGTGTTCATGTACATAGCCGGGCGCGTACGTCCTTTGTGGGCTCCCTAAGTGGTGGGGGCGCGGAAGTCGAAGAAGAACATGATCGACCCACGGACCAATGATCTGGACATGTGATGCCCGGCAGCGTTTTCAAGACACCTGATTGGGCGACGGGCAATTGCAATGCTGAGTGTATCGATCTTGGTGTACCGTGCCCAGGGCTGTGCTGTGCTGTGCCATGCTGAACTGCAATGTGCCATGCGTCGATTGTGCTCTATAGCGTTGTGGATCGAGTCCTCGGCATTCGAGTCCTGACCGAACTGATCTGGGTTTTAAGCTCGAGCTGCCTGAGCACAGATTAGCCGCTCCAAAAGCTAGTCGAAGTGGAAACGTGGAGGACGTTCAATCAACTCGACGTCAAAATCCGGCTCAGCTCCGAAAATGAACGACACGCCACGAGGCACAGTCTCACGGACGCGCTACAGAACATGCCAGGGGTGCAATGGGAGATGCGCTAGGGGGCGTGCCAGGGGACGCATCGGTGGACGTGCTCCGGACGTGTCAGGTACCTGCCACGGGACGTGCCAAAGCGCGTGCCATGAGGCGGCCAGAGGACGCCATGCTAAGAGGCGTTGCAAGGGGCCCGCCAAGGAACGGGCAAGGGAAACGCCTGGGGACGAGCCAGAGCCAGGAAACGCGACAGAGGACGAGCCCGGGAACGTGCCACGCCGAGTGGCGTACTAGATGAGGTGCCAGGACGTCACGCCTGAAAGGGACGCACCAGGGGGCGCGCCAGGGCGCCAGGGGAGGCCCCACGGACTTGCGGGGTTTGACTGCGACGCCCTCTATTGCGACAAGCGTTTCGCTTGAGACATCCTCAACAGATCCTCATGTTAGACATCCGCCTTGGCGACGTGGACACGTGGAACCAAGCGTCTCGCTCGAGACGTTCTCAACACCTCGTCATGCTAGACATCTGTCTGAGCGACCTGGGCACGTGAAAGCAGGAGTTTCGCTCAACACTTCCTCAACACATCCTCATGCTAGACATCCGCCTGGGCGACCTGGACACGTGAAAGCAAGAGTTTCGCTGAACCCATCCTCAACACATCCTCATGCTAGACATCCGCCTTGGCGACCTGGACACGTGAAAGCAAGCATGTCCCTCTCTTGAGACATCCTCAACAAATCCTCATATTCGACATCACGGAATACGGGCCAAGAGGGCCCCGAAAGAAACGTTGAGAATTGCCCAGGAGGCCCCCGAATTGCTTGAGACAACCCCAAGACGCCCCAAGATGGCGCCGAGACGGCCCAAGAAAGCTTCCAACTAACCCCACGACACGCGCAGACAGCCCAAGAAGATCCCAGAAACCTACAAGAGGACCCAAGAGGTCCCCAAGAAGCCCCCAGCAAGCTCCAAAACAAACCCGCGCGGCGCCAGAAGCCTCCAGGGCTCCAGGGTAGCCCAATATGGTCATAAGGACCTTCTCCTGATTCAACATCCTTCTCCAATTGCCTCTTACTGTCCGTCGTCGTCGTCATCGTCCTCCGTATTCCTCCTCGTACTCGCCCTCGTTCTTTTCGTCCTCGTCTTAGTGCTTCTCTTCCTCCTCGTTGTCCGCATGCTCCTCCTCGCTATCCTCACGTTCTCCACGTCGTCCTCGTCATCGCCTCCTCGTCACCCTCGCCTTCCTCTTCTTTCTCGTCTTCGCCCAATACGCCCATTAGACTGAAGCGGCGGCCGTTTCGCTTGGGACATCCTCGAAAAACCGGCCCCAGAGAGAACTCCGAATCGACATCGTCTTGGAATCGCTCCTGGAGGGCTTTCGAACGGCCCAAAGGGGGCCCAGAATACGCCCCAGACGGCAGCAAGAAGAGCGCCCAAGAGCGCCCCACGAGGACCCCAAGAGACCCCCAAGAGCGCTCCAGGAGGGACCCAGCCCCCCAAGACGGCCCAACACGGGCCAAGAGGGCCCCAAGAGATTCCCGGGAACGCCCCAGGATGCCCCCAAACAGCCCGAGAAAGCCCCAAGACGGTCCAAGATGCCGAGACGGCCCAAGAAAGCTCCCAAAGAGCCCCACGACGCGCCCAGACAGCCCAAGAAGACCCCAACAACCTACAAGAGGCCCCCAAGAAGTCCCCAACGGGCCCCAAGACAACCCCGCGCGGCGCCAGGAGCCCCCAGGGTAATTAGCCCGATAGGGTAACCAGACCCTCTCCTGATTCAACGTCCTTCTCCAACTGCCTCTCACTGTCCTCCGTCGTCGTCCTCGTCGTCGTCGTCGTCCTCCGCTTTCCTCATCGTATCCGCCCTCGTTCTCATCGTTCTCCTCGTTGTCCTCGTGCTCCTCGCTCTCCTCACGTTCTCCACGTCGTCCTCGTCATCGCCTTCTCGTCGCCCTCGCCTTCCTTCTCTTTCTCTTCTTCGCCCAATGAGCCCATTGGACTAAAGCGGCGCTTCCCGTTCTCGTCCGAACAGGTTTTGGAATTCGGACGGCCCATTGGACTACAGCGGCGCTCCGAGAAACTTGCATTCTAGTCCTGGCTGGGCCCTGCGTTCCGCGCCGTCTGGTGGTCCCTGCGGTCGCTGTGCGCGCCCGCTCTCACGGAATGGGTGTCATTCGCAACGGACAGTTGTCAGTTGATTCGAGACCCACGCTTCCCTTGCACGGTGGAGTTAAGCATCTCCACAATTATATTGGCTCAAGACGCGCCGCAAGGCTGAAGATTTTGCTAGCTGGCACCCGCAACTCCCGTTCGTGTGTGAAATTCTTACTCAAGAGGCGTACGTCATTCCGCCGAAGCCCAGAACAGGAGAGCAGTCTGTTGAATGTTGGGTCTCTCTTGGGGTGCTCGTGTGAGCTCTCGCTCTCTCTCTCTCTCTCTCTTTCTCGAGCTTTCTCGGAAGCCTCGCGGGGCCGATTTGGGACAGCTTGGAAACAACAAAACATCGTTGTCCTTGATTGAAGTGCCGTCGTCGCAGATCGAGCAACCGCTTTTGGGAGCCCTGTCTGCCCTCCCTTGGGGGGTCTCTTGGGCGAGCATTGGGAGGGTCTTGAGGCCTCGGCAGCCTAGCAGAAGCGAAGTGGCGACCAATCACGAATCATCGGAAGCTAACGGGTTGGGATTGATCTTGACTTCTTGGGGGCATCCTTGCAAGGCTTCAGTGGAGCCCCCGCTGGGGACGTCTGAGAGCCTTCTGGTTGCTTGTTGCAGGTCATGGTGGTTCAACGTGGGCCGAATCTCACAATTTTGGCAGCCCTTGTTTGCCTGAGAGGGCGGTGCCGAGCTCTGAGGGCCCTTCCCCTCCCCCTCGCACGGGACCCTGCTTCTCCGAGGAGGGGGACCGAGAAGAGGGGTGCCGCCCAGGTCCTCTTGCACGCCTGCTCGCCCCCCTGCAGGCGGGGTGGGCGGAGACCGGGCACGTCCTCGGCGATGGCGTCACAGCTTCAGGCCGTGCTGCTCGTGTCTGTGGCCGTGCTCGGGCAGAGCAGCCGGATGGACATCGCGCTGCACAGCCAGCTGGGCATCGAGGAGGCCGTCGCAGAGGCCAGCAATTCGAGCTCCCAGGGCACCTACACGTGCGAGTGCGACGACAAGCAGGCGGGCGGCACAGCCAAAGGAGTCTACTGAGCGGACGCTCGGCGAGCTGCCCGCGTGAGGTCGCGCGTAGGCGCCTCCCCTCGCTTCCGCGCGGCGTGCAGCGATGGCGGGCTGCGTATGCCACCGCTCCAGGCCGCCGCGCACTCTGGCGCAATATGTGTCTCCGCCGCCCAGGTGATGAAGATGGGGCACATGGCGGCGGTAGCCCTGGGCGCCTTCCCGTGCCTGCAGAGGTGCGGCGAGATGGGTGCCCATACCTACTGCGTCTACGTCTCCTCGCGCCACGGCGGGAGGACGTGCCACCCCGTGCCGCCCAAGGAGAAGTTCTGCGTGAAGACAAAGTGCGAGCAGGGTGTGCTCTCCTTCGGCCAGTGCACCGACCCCTTCGACGTCACGGAAGAGGTGGTCGCGTACAAGAGCGACCTCGTCGGGGCTTATTTTGCCCGCGAGGCCGCGCGCAAGTGCAGTGGGTGGTGCACCGAGACGCAGGACATCGACGCGGGCGCATGTCACTGATCGGGCACGCAGCATTAGTCATCGGCATGGTGCGGCGCGTGATTTCGAGACCTTTTGAATATGAAAACACGAGAAAGCTGTATTTGCTAGCATGGACGCCGAGTATTCAGTTCTTGCACTGTGGATGTGGCATCTGTGCGCCCGCGAGCGCCTACGTGCGGGAACTTGGCAAATCTTCGGCGGCCCCGGGCAATTTCTTTGGCAAGCTCAGTAAGAAACCCAAAGAGCAAGCACTGCTCTGGGGAACAACAATCAGTCCAGCTGCCTGCGGCACGCATAGCAGCGGCACAGAAGGAGGGAGGTCGAGATTTAAGACCATATCGGTTCGGTGTTCCGTTTAAGCGGCGTTTGATCGCCCCTGATGTTTTTGTTTTTCTTTCGTCTTTTATCTCAGAGGATCATGAGGCTAGTTGTACGTTCCAAGATTTCAACATATTCAGAGTATGTTCCAGATGTCCTAGTGTTCCAGACGGGCTGCAGAATCGAGGGCCGCCAGATATTCCAGAACTCCTGGAACGCATCTAGAACTGGTCCTACACTGATATTGTTATTCGTCGTGTTACCCACTTCCTCTCCCTATCTTCCCCTTGAAGTCATTTGCGAGGCCTCTTGGGGGCTGCTTGGGTCCCCCAAGGGGTCTCATGGACGCTCCTTGGTGGGCCCCTTGGGGGTCTCGCTGGCCGTCTCGGGCGCGATGCTTCCACAGTGTTTTCTTCTGCGGGTGTTTTGGGGCGTCTTCGCGGGGTTCTGGTAGCATTGGGGTTTGCCGAAGTTTCGTTATCCACTTTTTGTCCTCCGCCTCCTCCTCCTCCCCTCGATTTGTTCCCCGGTATGGCAAGAATAGATGGAGAAACGTATCCGTCAGGGTGCACCCCCCTCCCTAACGTAGACTACCCACCTAACGTCACCCGGACGTCGGTGACACTGAGACCGTCCCGCGCGGAATGGGCGTGCCACTTGCATTCTGGCGACACGCTTGTCTCGGAATGATGCTCCAGCTTGACCGTCGGCATTTTTCATTGAGCGTGCTGTTCTCGCCTTGGTGCCGGCCACAGCTCTGATGAAAAGTGTTGCTCTGGCTTTGGCGCTGGCGACATCCTTTATTGAGCATGTCGTTTTCGCCTCGGCGCCAGCCACATCTCTGATTGAAAATGGTGCTATCGCCTAGGCGCCGGCGACATTTTTCATTGAGCGTGTCGTTTTCGCCTCGACGCTGGCCACGTGTCTCATGACAAATAATGCTGTCGCCCAGGCGCCAGCCGCATCTTTCATTGAGCGTGTCGTTCTCGCTCCAACGCCGGCCACGTCTCTGATCGAAAATATTGTTGTGACGTAGGCGCTGGCGACATCCTTCATTGAGCATGTCGTTCTCGCCTGTACGTGGGCCACATGTCCGATTGAAAATGTTGCTGTGGCCTCGGCGTCGGCGACATCCTTCATTGACCTTGCCGTTCTCGCCTTGTCGCCAGCCACAGCTCTGATGAAATGTGTTGCTCTGGCCTTGGCGCTGGCGACATCCTTTATTGAGCATGTCGTTTTCGCCTCGGCGCCACATCTCTGATTGAAAATGGTGTTATCGCCTAGGCGCCGGCGACATTTTTCATTGAGCATGTCGTTTTCGCCTCGGCGCTGGCCACATCTCTGATGACAAATACTGCTGTCGCCCAGGCGCCAGCCGCATCTTTCATTGAGCATGTCGTTCTCGCTCCGGCGCCGGCCACGTCTCTGATTGAACATATTAGTGTAACGTAGGCGCTGGCGACATCCTTCATTGAGCGTGTCGTTCTCGCCTGTACGTGGGCCACATGTCCGATTGAAAATGTTGCTGTGGCCTCGGCGTCGGCGACATCCTTCATTGACCTTGCCGTTCTCGCCTTGTCGCCAGCCACAGCTCTGATGAAATGTGTTGCTCTGGCCTTGGCGCTGGCGACATCCTTTATTGAGCATGTCGTTTTCGCCTCGGCGCCACATCTCTGATTGAAAATGGTGTTATCGACTAGGCGCCGGCGACATTTTTCATTGAGCATGCCGTTTTCGCCTCGGCGCTGGCCACGTGTCTCATGACAAATAATGCTGTCGCCCAGGCGCCAGCCTCATCTTTCATTGAGCGTGTCGTTCTCGCTGTGGCGCTGGCCACGTTTCGGATTGGAAATATTGTTGTGACCTAGGCGCTGGCGACATCCTCCATTGAGCGTGTCGGTCTGGCCTGATTGAAAATGGTGCTATCGCCTAGGCGCCGGCGACATGTTTCATTGAGCGTGTCGTTTTCGCCTCGACGCTGGCCACGTGTCTCATGACAAATAATGCTGTCGCCCAGGCGCCAGCCGCATCTTTCATTGAGCGTGTCGTTCTCGCTCCAACGCCGGCCACGTCTCTGATCGAAAATATTGTTGTGACGTAGGCGCTGGCGACATCCTTCATTGAGCATGTCGTTCTCGCCTGTACGTGGGCCACATGTCCGATTGAAAATGTTGCTGTGGCCTCGGCGTCGGCGACATCCTTTATTGAGCATGTCGTTTTCGCCTCGGCGCCGGCCACATCTCTGATTGAAAATAGTGCTATCGCCTAGGCGCCGGCGACATCTTTCATTGAGCATGTCGTTCTCGCCTCGGCGCCAGCCACATCTCTGTTGACAGAATGTTGCTGTCGCCTAAGCGCGGTGGTGCCGGCCACATCTCTGATTGAAAATTGCGTTTTCGCCCAGGCGACAGCCGCGCGCATGGTTGCGACTGTTGTTCTCGCGGTTCGCGCTATCGATTCGGATTTTTACTCTCGCTTGGTGTTGGTCAAACACATGATAGCGAACGCTGTTATCGCCTCTGCCGCTTCGGCGCTGGCCGCACCCTTGATTGGGAACGCCGTTTCATTTCGATTACGTACTTAAAGATTGTACCGTCGCCGGGGCGCCCGTCACATTTTGATTGCGAACACCGTTCTCGCAACAGGGGAAGACGCGGCCTCACAGCCACTGGGCTGCGCAAGCTTCTGGATCGCGGACCCATCCGCGGCCAGTTTGGCGCCAAGGTGCAGCTTGGGGTTCTTCGCGTTGTGCTAGTTGTCATCGTAATGCTGTTCATACTGGTGCTGCTGGTGCCGCCCGCTAGCAGTGCTGCGCATGATGTTGCTGCTTTCCTTCGTGCTGGTCACTACCACACTGTCACAGTGGTACTGGTTCCAGTGATGCGCTCCTCACGCTGGTACTCCTTGTTGCGCTTGTGTTGGTGCGCGTAGTGCTGCTGTTTCCCGTCGGGCTTGTCGCAATTGCGCTGCTGGTGGCGCTGGTAGTACTATTCATTTTGCTTGTCAGTGGAGTGGTGGTGGCGTTGGTAGTGCTACGCGGAGTGTTGCTGCTTCCCGTCCTCCTATTCTCATTGGTGCTGTTGGTGGCGTTCGTGCTGCTGCGCTTGGTGCTGCCGTTTCCCGTCGTGCTGGTCACAGAAGTACTTGTGGTTATGCCTGCGTTGCTGGTTATCGTTGTGTTGGTCACGCTGGTGCCGCTAATTGTGCCAGTGCTGGTTCTCGTGGTGTTACTGCTTCCTGTCGTGTCGGTCGCGCTGGTGCTGCTGGTGGCACTAGTGGGGCTGGTGGTGGTGTTGTCGCGCTGGAGCTGATGCGCGTGGTGATGCCGTTCGCCGTCGTGTGCTACCACTGGCGCAAGAGCGGGTCACGGTATTGCACAGCTGCTGGTGGCGCTCGTGGTGTTGCTGGTGGTGTTGCTGGTGGTGTTGCTGGTTGCTGCTGGTGGCGCTGGTGCTGCCGCGCGTTGTGGTGCTAGTCTCTGTCGCGCTACTCACGAATGCAGTGTTGGTGGCGCAGGTGCCGCTGCGAGGGGAGCTCTTGCTGCGCGCCCGACGCGTGGCGGCCCGCAGCCGCCGCAGCGGGCACTGGCGACGCCGGGAGCGCGGCGGCCGCCAGACGCCCCCTTGACGACGGCGGTCGGAGGGCGCTGCCTGGGGGCTGGGGGCTGGTGTTGTCCAGGCATGGCGCCGCTGCTGGCCGGGCAGGGCGCTGGTGCAGAGCGGTGGAGTTGCTGGCCAGGCTGGGCGCAGGCAGGCAGGCCGCGTGCGCTCGCCCTCCTCCTCCTCCTCCTCCTGCTCCTCCTCCACCTCCTCCCCCTCATCCTCCTCCTCCTCCTCCTCCTCCTCCTCCTCCTCCTGCTCCTCCTCCTGCTCCTCCTCCTGCTCCTCCTCCTGCTCCTCCTCCCCCTGCTCCTCCTCCTCCTCCTCCTCCTCCTCCTCCTCCTCCTCCTCCTCCTCCTCCTCCTCCTCCCCACAACGAGCCACTACACCGTCTTCGCGCTCGCCCTGGCGCTCCCAGGTAGCGCTGCTATTGCAAGCCCCGGTTGGCGCAACGCGTACCGTGGGGAGCGACCGTCCTTCAGGCTCTGGCCGAGGAGCAGTTGTTCTGGGTGCGGGCGGGGCTCGGACCAACTCCCAGCCAAGCTTCGTGCGGACGGACTGCGCATCTTTGTTTTGGGGCGCCTCCTGTGTCCAGCGCAAATCGAACGATTTGGGCCGTGACGCTTTGCACTGGAGTACGGGAGCGCCTCCTCCCCCAGCGGCCTTGCCAGCGCGGGAGTGTGGGCGCTCGCGGAGTCCATCGCGGATCGCCTGGCGCTTCCGATTCCCGTCGTGTTCGCTCTCGCGAATTTGTCGGCGGTGGTTGCGTTGCTTCGCGCGGTGTTGCTGCTCCTGTCGTGCCGGCTTTTTCGGTCACTGTGATGTTTTTGGTGGCGCGGATGCTTCTGTGGCATCGTGGCTGGATCTTGTGGTTTTCGTCACAGTGGTGTTGCTCGTTGCGCTCATGCGCGTAGCGCTGCTGCCTCCTATCGTGCAGACAACACTGCTATTGCTTGTGGCGTTGGTTGTTTTTCGCGTGGCGGTGCTTCCCGTCGTGTCCGTCGCAGTGGTGCTGCTGGTGTTGCTGCGCTTGGTGCCGCTGCTTGCTGTCCTGTTCGTTACAATGGTGCTGCTGGTGGCTTTGATGCTGCTTCGCATGGCGTTCCTGCTCCCCGTCGCGGTCGTCAGTGATGTTGGTGTTGCTAGCACAGGTGTGTGTGTGTGTGATTGTGCTGTTTGTTGCCGCGCTGACAGCAGAGGTAGTACACGTGTCGTTGTTCGCTACTCGGACTACGGGTGGTGGTGTTCGTTGCGCTAGGGAGCTGGCGCGCGTGGTATAACTGGTTCCTGGTTCGTTGGTCATCGTAGTGTTGCTGGCTGCTTCCCGTAGTGCTCGTCACAGAGGGGTTGCTGGTGGCGCTGGTGCCGCTGCGCGTGGTGCTGCTGTTTGCTGTCGTGTTGGTCACAGATGTATTATTGGTGGTGCTTGTGCTGCACTCCTGCTGCTGGCGGCGTCGATGCTGCTGCGCGTAGTGTTTCTGCTTCTGGCCGTCGTCGGCGCAGTGGTACTGCTGGTGGAACTGGTGCTGCGCGTAGTGGTGCCAGCGCTTGTACTGGTACTCGCAATTGTGTCGCTGATGGCGCTGGTGGTGCTGCTGCTGGTCGTGATGCTGCTTCCTGTCGGGCTGGTCGCAGTGGAACTTCTCGTTTCAGTCGTGTTGCTGTTGCACGGCTGACGCTTTGCGGGTCGTCATGCGCATCGCCGCAAGGACGCCTGGGTGGCGGTGCGAGGAGTTCGCAGCTGTCGCCTGTGGGACAGGGTGTGGGCTCTGCCTGGGGCGCCCGGTGTCCAGCGCAGAATCGAACGCTCTGGGCCGCGACGTTGTGCGCCTCAGTACGCGTCAAAGCCCCCGCCGACCCCCCCCCCCTCTCTCTAGTCCAATTGCATCACCTGGTGGAGTATATGCGCCACTGCTTGTTTGAGAAGTAAGTTGCAGAATGGGACAACTCAGGGTGAATCTCAGTGGGCCGTAGTACAAAGGCTACACTCAGCCCTTACAGTACTCGGATTGGGTCGTGTCGTCTGCGAACTTTTCATCCTGCCCAAAGTTGGACATTCGGATTCTGCACAGTATTGTTTCACCGTGATTCTGTTCGCACGCATAGGGCCGATGCCGAATGTTTATGTAAGTAAGCAAGGACGCGGTGGACAACGCTGCTTGGCAAGCATATATTTTGATTGAGATGCTTTCTGTCGTAATCCAACAGATGGTAGTTCCGCAGCAATATATCTTTAGCTAGCCGCCTCTCTCGGGGACTTCGGTTCTTGTCGCAGTATCATGTTCACCAGCAGGGCAAAGCCTACTTGCGTCACGACGCTGCACGCCAAACTCATGTTCCCCATTGCCGGGTGGACGATCTGACGTTTTCGGATGTTCATGGACTTCGGCGTCTCTGGCCGGCGAGGGGGCGGGGGCGCTCGCGCAGTCCAGCGCGAATTGCTTGTCGCTGCTGGTTTTTCTCGTGCTCGTCCCAGTGCTAGTGGATCTGCTAGTTGCGTTTGTGCTTCTGCGCGTGGTGTCGCTGCTTCCCGTCGCGCTGGTTGCAGGGGCGTTGTTGGCGGCGCTGGCACTGCTTTGCGCAGCGCTGCTGCTCCCCGCCGTGCTCGTTACATAACTAGGTGCTGCTGGTGGCGTTGGTGGTACTGCGCTTGGCGGTGCCGGTTGGTGTCGTTGCGGTCGCAGTGGTGTTGTTGGTAGCGTTTCTGCTGCGCCGCGCGGTGTTGTTGTTCCCCATCGTGGTCGTCATACTTGATTTGCTAGCGTCGCCAGAGCTGGCGCGCGCGGTGGTGTTGTTTGCCAGCGCGCTTGTGGATGCTGCACTGTTGGTGCTGTTCGTCTTGGTTGCGTTGCTGCTCCTGGTGGCGCTTGTGGCGTTGCTGCCGCGCGCGGCGTTGCTGCCGCTGCTTCTGGCGGTGCTCGTTTCGCCGGTTTTGCTTCTTGCGCTAGAGCAGGGGCGCGCGTGCAACGGAACATGTCGCCCGCGATTGCGACGAACGCTTTCGCTTCGCAGTCGGCCACATCTACTCTTGCGATTGATGTTTTGGTCTCGGCCCTGGCCGCGTCCGCGATTTCGAACGTTGGTTTCGCTTCAGCGCTGGCCGCAAACATCACGCACGATTGTGAGTGTCGTTCTCGCCCCAGCGTCGGCCGCACCAGCGATCGCGAACATTGTTATCGCTTCGGCGTTGGCCACCCCAGTTTACAACGACAGCCGCGTTGACTCCCGCCTGCTACTGGTCACGCGTTATTGGGGCATCGATCTTTCTTTCGAGACCTTGCCGGTTATCCAGGGATCGCGCTCTCGCTTGGGATATCTCCACACTTGAGCGAATCTATTTGCCGGCCCTGTGGATTCGCGCTTGCGCTCGGGACCTCTCGCATGAGACTTCTTTGCTTTCCCTCCTGCTAACCCCCTATCGTGCTCCATGTTCTCCTTTACCCTTTTTGCCTTCTTCCCCGCAGAGGGGGTGCGATCGTAGACAGAGACCAGGAGCGCTCAGTCTTAACGTGTTTGTCGCGATTATTGTTGTTGTTGTAGTGGTTGCGGCTGGTGAGCGATCATATAGCGGTACACGTGTGCACTATAGGGGTATACAGAGCAGTTTACACGAGCCCCACACAGTGTCTTTCTAGCTGCATACATGTATATGTATATGTGTATGCGTATATGTATACACAAAAAATGATGCACCCCACGCGAGGCAATACAGGCGGTGCAATCGACGTGCGATCTACCATGTGCTTTTACGACGTGCGATCTACGACCTGTGAACGTATGTCGTGCGATCTACGTTGTGCAACCACTGAGTCAAGGGCGCAAAAAGCGCCCCTACCCTGGTTTACGAGGCGCTGTGCGCTGAACCTCCTGTGGGTTGACCGGATAAACCCTGCATGATGTGCGGCGTCCTGGCGGCTTTCTAGGCTCTGGGGCCTCCCAGGAGGTTTACAGACCACGCACTTGTAACCAAGGGTAGGGTCGCTCTTCATCCCCGTACAATGTGGCGCAAATGTTGCCGAAAAACCTGGAGTTGCCAACTGCTCGCGCAATCGCCCCACCCACCCGCCCGCAACCTGGCGTGCAAAACCCATCCAGCGGCGATTGCGATGAGTGTTTGGCATTGGCTGTTGCATCTCTGCGGCCGCTCTAGCCCGCGCAGGGGCCAGCTTGTTTGGGGCGACCGACGCGGTCGCGGCGACGCGGACCACTAGGGATTTCCCAGCGGGCATTTCACTGCGAGTCGGTAGCCTGGGCGGGCACTGCACCATGGCGACGTCGGCAACGGTTGAGTGGGTAGTGCGAATAGCGATGATGGTGTGACGATGATGACGATGATGACGGCAAGGCCAATGACGGCGCCGTTGCTGATCACAGTGGCGAAGATGACGGCGTCCTCGCGTCGGCTATGAAAGTGTTGGAGAGGGTTCGATGCGCGCGCGGCCGACGCGCGCAAGTGGCCCGCGTGGTGTTCTTTGACAAGAGCCGTGCCTACCCCGGCGCGCGCGCGACGGCGTTCGACGAATATCGACACGCGGCGCGTGAGGCCCGTTTGGTCGAATTTGCTGAGAACGCAACAAAGAAAACATTTTGTTTTCCCCATATCCACAGGAGGTTTTTTTGTTATTACTCTGACCGCGCCGACTCTTTCAGGTCACCTCCTCCCCTTTTCTTTTTCTTCCCCATCCCACTCAGAGTATGATGATAATGATGATGATGATGATGGTAGTGATGATTATAATTGTGATGATGATGATGATGCTGATGCTGATGCTGATGCTGATGCTGATGATGATGATGATGATGATGATGATGATGATGATGATGATGATGATGATGATGATGATGGTGATGGTGATGGTGATGGTGATGGTGATGGTGATGGTGATGATGGTGTAGGTCGGTCTTAGTAGTGTTGGATAGCATCGAAGATACCTACGGCGACCCACCACCTCCCCGTGCCCTTTGGAAACGCCGAAGGTTACCACGCCATTGGACTATGTGTTCTCTGGGGGATCGCCAGGGGGATCAAGAGGCAGATGAGAAGATGAGGGAGGACACGGGTGCCTATTGGGGCCCTCTTGCGTGCTCCTACGGCCTTTTGGGGGCCTCTTGGGGGCCTCTCGGGGGCCTCTCGGGGGCCTCTTGGGCGCTTCTTGGGGTCCTCTTGGGGGCCTCTTGGGGGCCGTCTCAGGGCGCGTTGGGTCCGTCTGAGGCCTTCAGAGGCCGTCCTGGGGGCCTCTTTCGGCCGTCTGGGGGCGTTTCAGGGACGCTTTGGAGGTCTGTGGGGCTGCCTTGGGACGGCCAGGCCTCAAGGACAGCAGAGCCAGAGTTCCGACCCGAATATACAGGGCTATGCTCGCTCTTGAGGTCGTTAGCGATACCCTGCGCGCATTCCTCCTTGGCTGTGCTCGCTCTTGAGGTCGTTAGCGATACCCTGCGCGCATTCCTCCTTGGCCCCCTTTCCGCCCGAACATCGGCGGCGAGCCCCGGGGGGGGAAGCGGGAATGAGAAGGCCTTCTCAGAACGCCCGGAAGTCCCCCTTGCCTTCGAGGAGTTCTCTGAGCCCTTTCCCGACGGCACGGAAGACCTTTCGGAGGGCGCGAGGGCTCCTGCGAAGTCCTGCCGCCTTCTGAGATGGCCTCCTCCTCGCTTCCCCCCCTCGCAGGCCGCCCGCGCCGCCGGCGCGCCGCGCCGCGCCGCGCCGCCGGCGCACTGGCGATGCGGCTCGGTGTGGAGCCCCAGGGCCTCCACGCCGATGCCTCGCCGATGCCTCGCCGATGCCTCGCCGATGCCACGCCGATGCCTCCCCCCCTCGCTCGCCGCCGAGCCCAGACAGGTGGTGCGACCCGTGCGACTGGTGGCTGTGCGGGGACTGCTGCCCCGCGGGCTCCGCCGAGGGGTCGAGGCGCGAGCGCCCGCCGCCCGCCGCCGCCCTCGGGTGCGCCCCGCTGCCGTGCGGTCGGCGCCGAGGCAGCGCCCCTCCGTGGTGCGGTGCAGCAGAAGGCTCGTCCGCGCAGGCTTCCGTGTGCTGATTGCCGAGGCAGAATGTCGGGGGTGGACAGACCTCCTACCCTGACACGTCGATTGACAGGATATGGCCGTTTTCGGTTCGCGAGAGGGCGTCGCGGCCGTCGTTTTTGCGGGTCCAGGTCCGTCGGTTTCGGTCCCAGGCCGTTTTCATTAAGGGGAGGTCTACTGAAGGGAGGTTTGTCCACCGCCGAAAATGACTCCATAGCTGAGAGCGTCGTCTTGTTCATTGTTCTGCCGATCGGCGTGGGCCCTCGCACACCCCCCCTGTCCCCCGTGGCCCCCCTCTCCCCCTCCGTGGAGTAGATCTTGGCTGTTTTGGGCGCCCGTTTCAAGCAGCCGGAGTCTGCCCCACAGGACGCAGTGTTGCAAACAGTCGCAGTCAGCAGAGGTCTGGAGCCCGACCCTCCCCCCCCCGTTCCGCCAAATCTCGAAACGACGAATAAGATAATGTTCCATAAAGCAAGTCTTGTCCGTCCAAGGTCAGCGCCTCCAGGCCCTCAAGTTTCAATGATGATGCAAAGACGAGTGACTTCATATGTTTTGCCGGGCTGCGCAAGGGGCGCCGCGCGTACCGCGGAGCACAGATTTAGGGGCGCGTGGGGGTGGCACAATTTGTTTTACGTGTCGCGGAGGGCTGAAGGACCACGTTGGGCTCAGGAAGGGGCTCTGGTTTTCGGGCCGCCCCGTTGGGGAACCTCTGCCTGGCCGAGGCTCGCCGTGGCAAGGAAATTGCCAGCTTGAAGCATAACCCGATCCCTATGATGGCCATCACCTGATCTCAATACAGATCTTAGCGATTCCCTCCGTTTCTGAGGGCGCATCCCAAAGATTGTCATTGCCTTGGGCTTGCCGATCTTAGGGGTAGGTATCAGTTCGAGGCTGGTTAGGAAAGCCCCTTCCATCCTCATTCGGCGTTCCTCGTGGTAGCCCGATGCCTGCACATTCTGGGTGCCTGCGGCGAGAGATCCGCCACCGTGCCAGCGCAGCTCGGCGGCGCGCCACGCCCGCGGCGGATCCGCGCCGCGTCGATGCGGCGGCGACGCCGGCGGCCTGTGCTGCCGGTCCGAGGCGGGGATTTATCGTCCGTAACCACCATTCGGGGGAGCGATCTTCGCGGACCTCCACAGGCGGTGGGTAGGTAATCATGGATATATTCGGGCTCCTGGGGGCCAAAGTATATCCATCTCCACCGCCCGCCGGGGCACCAGGACGTCGTTTCCAAAGCGGTGGATATGGATAAATCCTCGCCTCGCAGCCAGAGTTCGTTCAGGGTCGGTCGATCTACGTGGTGCCAGGAGCCAGCGTCCGTGCCGACACGACGGGAAATGTGCCGTGCCCCGATCCGTGGTCACCGGGAGCCTTGAGGCGGGTGCCTATGAAAAAAACGGGGGTCAGCCAGAGCGCCGGATCTTGCAGGATCCGGGAAACCCAGGGTTGCATTGACCCGGGCTTGCCTGCAGGATCCTGCAGGATCCTGCGGAATTTTGCAGGATAGCGCAAAGCCTGGATGATCCGTGTTGGCATTAGCCCGGGTTCGAGCAGGCGCCAATGTTCATGAGCCCAGGATCGGCGCACATGCCCCGTTGGCCCAGCTCGGGTTGGGCGAAAGGGGTTGATAGGGAAAGAGGCGGTTTCGAGATCTGTTGCACGCAGCTGGTTTCGGCCCCGCCGCCAGGCTGTTCTCGATACATTGGCGCCTCTGGCATCCAGAGTTGCTCCCCCCCTCTTTGCTATCCATAATTACCCTTTCGTCCGCCCCGACCAACCGGCTCTGGGCCCATGGCTGGCACCGGTCAGGATGGGTGTCGGTGTGTAGTTGGTGCCGTGCAGTGCAAGAGGAGGCATGGCAGGATCTTTTCGTCAGTATTTTCCCTTCTCGAATTTTCTCCAGGGGCCCTCACTGTGACGGTTGGACGCAGCTAGAAGCGTAATGGCCGCCAGGGTAGACCTTGGGATCGGTCTGAGGACACGCTTCGAGCGGATGCTCGGCGGGGGTGGGGGGACGGGGCTGGCTTTTGAGAAGGCATGTTGAGGGTGTTGAGATCAGGGGCAACTTTAGGAGGGGAGGGATGGGCTCAGGGTTGGCCCATTCCTCTGGGATGGGGGCATGATCGCCCACCCCGCCCAGGAACGTGCGGTTTCGCTATCGAGAGAGGAGCCTGAAGGCATACATTCAGCCTGACTGGGGCTCTCTTCGGGCCTCTCCTGGGGCCTCTTAGGGCCACGGCTGTCGTTTTCAGGCACCTTGGAAGCCCTCTCGGGCCGTCTTGATGGTGTCTCGGAGGCCTTGGGGACCGCGTGGAAGCGTCGAGCCGCCCAGCTCGGCGAACGAAAGGGGAGGGGGTGCTGCATGCGATTGGGTGTACACACGATTGGCGGGAGGTGTGGTAAAAGAGCCGCGTCGGGCAGCCCGTGGCACCATCAGACGCCGCAGCTCAACGTGCAAGGGGGGCACATTGGTGGCCCGCATTCGACCTGCCCCGACTCTTCGGCATCGCTCGGACGTGTGACGTTTTTCTCGGCGAGGAGCCTCGAGGAGTATAGTGGACGGTCTTGCAGAAGCATACGTGCACGAAGCCGGAACCCACGCACGGGGAATGGACTTCCGAGAGATGGAGAGGACCAGCCCCGATTATCCGCTCGGCGTTTGTCTTGAGATGTCGCCACGTTCGCCCGCCCCGACCCCACCCCTCGATTGCCTGGGCTACCACCGTCTAGCCCCGCAGGGCCGCTTGCCTTGGACTGGCGGCGGCACTCAAATGCCCCGACCCGAGCCAACGTTGTGGCTTTCTCGGCTCGACCTCCGGGAGCCGTTGTTGTGCCGCAGGGGCATCCGATAATGGTTCAGGATGAAAGGCCGTCCCACGGGAAGAGGTCGGGAGCTCCCAGGACCCCGTGTTGAAGAAGGGCACGCACAAGATTTCGGTTCGCAGCAGTTCGTAATTTCGCCAGGGGGTCCACGCGCGGGTACCGTCAAAAGCTGGAGCTACCAGTAGGACCACTGGAACCGTTTCGCCGTCAATCAATCGTTGAGCAGCCGCATCACGTCAAGGATTGCCATGGTGGAAAGGTGATGTGCTATTGTCGAATTGTGCGCGGGTTGGGGACAGTTGGGTGGAGCGTAGTTCTTGCATGGAGCACGGTTGTTATCCGTGAGGGCTTCCCCCCCTGCCGTTGGCCCTTTCTCTATCAGAATGGGATATATATATATATATATATATATATATATATCAGAGTCGCGTCGGAACGTCTCGGCGCTGCCTTGGCGCATCTGGGAACATCATGCGGGGGCGGATCGGAATCATCAGCGCATATTGAGACGTTGGCGTTATCCTAGTGGCCGCCGACCTTCCCGCCAGCGTGCCTGGGTTGTGGGTCTGAGGCCTCTTGTATATTGGGGTGCCCTGGAGAGCCTCTCGGGGGCCACTTGGAGGCGGTTCGGGCGCCTCTTGGGGTCCTCTTGGGGCTTCGTGGGGTATATTTTGGGCCTCTTGGACGCCTCTTGGGCGCGTCTTGGGGCCTCTTGGGGCCTCTTGATGGCCTCTTGGGGCCTCCTGGGGGCGTCTCGGGGCACAAGTACCAAATGTTAGGTTCGTGGTCCCCTGCTTGGGCCCCTCTTGGGGCCGTCTTGGGGCCCTCTTGGGCCGTCTTGAGCGCTTCGCGGGGCCCTCTTGGGGCCCTCTTGGGCCGTCTTGGAGGCGTCTTGGGCTGTCTTGGGGCGGTCTTGGGAGATTTTTAAGCCGTCTTGGAGCGTCGGAAAGCCGAAAATGCGAGATGACAACATCCTTCAAAAACTTTCGTAACATCTGCGATTTGGGCCTCTTGGGGCTCTCTTGGGAGGCTTCTTGGAGCGCTCTTGGTGCATCTTTGAGCCCTCTTGGGCCGTCTTGGAACCATCTTCGGGCGCCTTGGCGCACTCTTGGCCTCGGCAATGCGAATACGGTGTAAACTGCGAGTGATTATGGCTTCGGGGACGCAAATATTGCGTCATCTACGAGGGGCTGTTGCCTCGGGGGGGGATGCACACATTGCGTAATTCACGATTGTTTGTGGCCTCGGGGACGCGAACATTGCAGAATTTATAAGGGATTGTGGCTTCGGGGGCGCGCATCTCCTGTACTTTTACGTGTCCCACGACCCCCCCCCCGCATTCTGAGGATGTGACTCGGGCGTGGTAGCTTGGTGGTTTGGGCCCTCCCCTCGCGCGGACTTCAACAATTCACAGTAGGAAGCAGAAAGCAGGACTGACATTGGAGACTTGAAACTGCAATGCATGGAGCAGCAACTTCGCCCTACTCTGTGTCCCTCTATAGTTCCGGGTCCCCGGACTACAAGTATACCCCCGGTATACCCCTTCCCTGATTTACAGATACCCCTCCCCCAGACTACAGGCACTCCCCCCCGGACTACAGGTACCCTCCCCCGACTACAGGTACCCCCCCAGAATACAGGTATCCCACAGGATTACATCCACGCGTGCGTTGACGCGTGATCCCGCGTTCCCCCCCAGACTGCAGGTACCCCCCCTGGACTACAGGTACCCTTCCCCCGGACTACAGGTACCCCACCCCGGACTGCTGGTACCCTCGCCCGGACTACAGGTACCCTCCCCGGACTACAGTTACCCCCAGAACTATTGAGGGACACAGAGTACAGCCTGGTGGCCACACAAGGGGGCCAGCGGATTTGTGTGTTCCAAGATTGTCTTGACCATTTTGTTATTTCTTCTTCATCTTCGCCCTCACCATATACTCCTGTGTCCCGAGCCGAGATGGGAAGGGCAATATTTCGTGTGTTCGCGCATGTGCTTGGCTCGGCACTTCTCTCGTTTCTAGCATTCTCTCTATAGTATCTGTTCTGCGTGCATCTCAGGGTGCGGCAGTTTCGGTCACCCGCTGGCAGACCGAAGTTGCTGGAGGGGCGGGCAAGGGGAGTGATTGGGGCGCGACCTTCTATGTTTGTCCGCCCTGTCATCCCCCGCTGCTTTTCTCTAGGCCTCCCAGCTCGGCGTAGATGGGGTCGGAGGATCGCGCCGCATCGCCGATGCATCGGCCATGAGGCTCGATGTGCATCCCGAATGTCTCCACGCCGACGTCGCGGATGCGTCGCCGACGTCGCCGATGCATCGACGATGCATCGCCGATGCAGCGCGATTTTCCGACCCCGTCTACTCCGACCCTATCTGCGAGGCTTCTATCTTCTTCTTCATCGCTCCTTCTTTCCCCCACTCCGGTTCCGCTTCCCCTTTTCCCCACTGTGCCGTGCTCACCTTCGTGAGGGTCTTCGCTTCCGTGTCGCAGCACGCCCCCCTCGGTCGACTACGGTGGGCTCGACGTGGCGGCGCAGCCTGGCACAGAGTTTGCTCGACACATCCTCCTCGTCGTCGTCGTCCCCCTCCTCTTCCTCCTCCTCCTCTTCCTACATTCGCCTTGTTGCAGGGATATGTTCCTAGATAACTCCTTGGAGTGCTAAGAGGGCTTGAAGCCAGCAGCACAGGGCAGCCCAGGCCCTCTCCACGGCTCCGGGGCAGGCATCCCCGCAGCGACTCCATTGAACCGGCAGCGTGTCCCGATAAGCTTGTTCCTACTCGTTCCCAATACGCGTGCTGGAAGCCTTGTCGCAGCTCCGTCGAAGCTCCTTGGGAGCTCCTTCGCAGCTCCCGTCTGGGGCTCGCAAGCTCCCCAGGCATCCTTTTCAAGCGTCCTTGCAAGCGTCTCCCAATGGTGCTTCACGCGATGTGGCCTGCACCGCTATCTGGGTGTTGGACGCCACAGGTGAGTTTCTTCTCGCTGTTTTACCGCTGCCGCTGTTAGGAACCGATCCCTCTAGCGCGGTTGCCTGATGTTCCCCTGTTCCCCATGATTATTCTCATGCTCCTCCTGCACGTTCGCTTCTTCCTTCCGTATCCTCCTGTCTCTGCTGTCGACAAGATTATCCGCGCTCATCGTGTTCTTGGTCCTTCTCCTTTACCTCCGCACCGTTGTGACTTCTTCCCCCCAGGATCCTCGTCCCCCATTGTCCTCATCCCCGTCCTCCCCTCCTCCTCCTCCCTATCTTATCCTAATCCCCCTCCCACCGTCATCCTCCCCCACGCTCCTCCTTACCCCTATTCCTCCTCCACCTCCTCTTACACGTTATCATCCTCTCCTCAGCATCCCTCGCCTTCTCTTTATCGTACATCCTCCATCCCCCCTCTTACTTGCCTTTCTCCCTATTATTCTCCCTCTGCCTCCCACTTCCTCTCCTCCCACTCCTTCCCCTCTCAAGAGCTTGATTGAAATGTTTGAACTGTGTGGAGTGTTGTGTGCGATTCTTAGAGCTGTGGGGCGTGCTGGGGGGGTTCAGGGCCGGGGATCGCGGCCACCCTCTTGTCCGTGCCCGCCTCTTCTCCTCCTCATCCTCATCCTATCTTGATTCCTTATATTCATGTATAGCCCCACTCTGCCACCTAGCTGGCCGACTGCGACCAGACCCAGATGGTCCCATCCTGCCTGTCAGCAACGATACACATTTAGCGTTTTTCGTCCCAACATGTGCATGCTGTCGTCCATGTTGGAAAATGCCTCGCAGGCCTGCGGCGGGGCGCACATCCTGCGGAAAGGCCGAACTGTCACTCCAGCTTCGGCGCCGCGCTCAGTTTTCTCGAGAATTGAGCTCCCGCTTGGGGGCACAGTGCATACTCTCAGTGCGCAATTCACTCGGCGCGAGAGCGGGCGAAGATGCCGCTCTCGCTTTGGGCGCCGTGCAGATTCGCCTGAAAGTGGCTCTCCCGCATCGACTTGGTGCATACAGTCGGGGCGCTGAAGAAGGAACCCTTTTCGTTGGGGAGGGGCTCGGTGTTCCTTGACTGTTTCAAAGTTTGCCTCAGGTTTTCCTGAGGTTTCCATGGGAGATCGAGGTTGAACTTATGGGAACAAAAATCCCTCGTTCCTTATTTAGGGTTCCTTAGGTCAACGCCTCGACTGTATTCATTCGCCAGGTTCAGCGGGCCTGCGCGGGTGGGCGACTTGTCGCCCTCGCGCGGGCCCGCTTAAACTGGGAGGGTGCGAGCCCCCCTGACTCGCTCGACCTGGCCAACTCTGGGCATCGCTCGGACGTGTGCATTGTTCCTTCAGCGAGGACCATCGAGGAGCATCCTTGATCATTTGGCCAAAAATCCACGCACGAAACTGAAAAAAAAACACAGGGAATGGACGTCCGAGCGATGGCCAGAACTTGACTCCTGCTCCTACTTCTGCTTCTTCCCGCTCCAACCGTCTGAACGTACTCGGCGACTGTCATCATTGCTGTCGCCGGCGCCAAACTGGTCCTGACAGAGTCAAGCGAGTCGACCCCGTGCCTGCTTCGGACAGATGCCCTGGGCCAGTGCGCGGTCCGTGCCCCAGCGTCCGTCCACCGCCTGCCGCACGCTCTGGTCCTCCTCTCCTCCTCTTCCTCCTCCTCCTTCTCCTCCTACCTTGCCTCCTTCTCCTCCTCCTCCTCCTCCTCCTCCTCCTCCTCCTCCTCCTCCTCCTCCCTTCCCTCCCCCCCAGTCGTTGCTGGCAGGTCGTTGGGGTGCAGACATCAGGGCCTCACGCTGCGGCCCACGAGTCCACCGGCAGTCCCCGGGGCGGCGGTGCCCAGGGGCCACAGGCAGGGCCGCCCGCGGCCCGATTCGATGCGATTCGCTTCGCGGACTGGGCCCGCGATTCCGATTCGACTCGATTTGGCTGGGGGCAAACAGACCTACCTCGCTTTTGACCACCCTCGCTTCCAAGGGATACCAAGCGATGCCAAACTACGGCCTGTACTGGTCGGGCCGCTTGACGAGGAGGCGCGTGGTGTGGCTTGGTTTTGCCTGGAAGCGAAAGCGGGGTAGGTAATTCTTCAAGCTTACGCCACATCCGCCGACCCCTTGTTTTTTTTTCTGGGGCGATGCGCGCACGGGGGCGAAAAAGTTTGAATGCTCCGCGTGCCCACCGAACGGGGACGGGAAGAAACCAGCGTTTTCAGACGGGGGCCATTTGTCGAAAGACCAGAAGAAGAATTATTTCAAGCGAAACAACCCAGTTGTGTGCGCGAAGTGTTTTAAAGCGGGACGAGCGCCGCGGAGAGACCCTCCGAAACGCCCGGCGGAACCAAGTGACGAGCATTGCGACAAGGCACGGAAGTTGCGAGGAATCTGACCGCTGGGGACGGGATGGATAAGGGGGACGTGGAGGAGGGAGGATGGGGGAGCAGCCAAAGGCGGAGAAGGTGAAAAGTGAGCCAGTGGAGGGAATACGAGACAGAAAGCTGAGAGGGGAGACGGGAGGAGGGGGCGGAAGAGGAGGATGAGAAGGAGCAGGAGAACACGACGAGGACGACAATGGCGGCGACAGACTCGACGGCGTAGGCTGGGCACCTTTTTGGGGCCATCTTGGGGGCTTCGTTGACCGTTGTGGGAGCCTCTGGCGCCGTCGTCGTGAGAATCCTCTCGGGGGCCTGCGGGAGGCAGTTTGGAGGCTTCTGGGGAGCTGTTTTGGGGCAGCTTGGGGCTTTTTTTGGGCTTGTTGGGGGCCTCTTGGGGGCTTCTTGGAGCCTCTTGGAGGCCTCTTGGGGCCTCCTTGGCGCCTTTTGGGGCGGAAGGCTAGAATTTTAGGTTCGTGGTCCCCGTCTGGAGCCTTTCTTGGGCCCCTCTGTGGGCCCTCTTGGACTGTCTGAAGGCCCTCTTGAGCCGTTTTGAGGCGCTCTTGGGCCGTGTTGGGGCCCACTTGGGAGCCTCTCGGGTCGTCTTGATGCCGTCTTGGGGGCTTCTTTCGCCGTCTTGGAGCGTCGGAAGCCCGAAAAAACGCGAAGGCCAAAAACGTTGAAAAAACCAATGGAAATCGACGATTTTGGCCTCTTGGGGCCATCTTGGGAGGCGTCTTGGAAGCTTCTTGGGGCGTCTTGGAGGCATCTGGGGCCATCTGGAGGCCATCTTGACCGTCTTCGAGTGTTTTTTCGGCGACTCGGGGCCCTCTTGGACCGTCTGCAGAGCTTCTTGGGAGCCTCTTCGCTCGTTTGCGGCCCCCCCAGCAGACTCTCTGGAGCGGATGACCCCCCCCGGACCGCGCCGGCGGATCCCGGGGAATCCGGCCGGACCCCCCCCCCCCCCCCTCCAAAACGACCGGACCAGGCTCCGGGGGGAGGGGTTTGGGGAGGGGGGAAGCATCTCACACGCCGATGACCCCAAGGGGTCGGCGGATTCACGCTCTGATTGGCTCGATTCACCGGCATCGGCTGGGAACAGCCGGAGCTTGGCGCGGCGATCCGATTTCGGGGCGATTCGTTGGCGATCCGATCTGTACCCCACCCGATCCGATGTCCCGATTCGATCTGGTCCAGACCTGACAGGACAACTGCGAGAGGTCCCAGGAGGCCTTGGAGAGCGCCACGGATCCGGGCCGCCCAGCTCGGGCTGCAGCGCGGCGTTTTCCGTCCCGGCGTGGCCGACGCCATCGGTTGTGCATCACATCGCGCCAGCGCGTATGCGACGCAGCCGATCCGGCCCCATCTGGGCCTCCAGGGAGGCGTTGCCAAGATCAGGGCGCGTCCTGCGTCGCGCTCAAGGTCTTTCGTCTTGACGCTCTGAGAGCGTTCCAGAACGCTCTGGAACGGATTTATCCTCGCCCTAGCCCCGTCCGATGCCTCTGGTCTCTTTCTGCCGCGTGCCCGTGGCCATATGGGCCAAAGGTCCACCAAGAAATGTTCTAAGAGCCGTATGTGCTTTGCACGAAATGTTCTTAGAAGATGTCTTGCTGGAGCTCTATTGTTTTAACATGTCGGCTCTATGTTCTAAGAACATGGTGCTTGTTCCCAGAACATGCTCGGATTCTAAGGGCATGTCGTGGCCGGCATATATAGGAATGCCGGGGCTGTCGGTTTCTGCTCAATTTGGGCCGAGCCCCTCTTGGGCTCGAGGCCGCTGCTGGGCAGCCAGACCTTCGTGCCGCCGCAGGCGGGGCCCCTGCTGTTCATGGCGGCGGCCCCCGGGCAGAGGCGCGGCACTCCCGCGCAGGTTGCGCTCGCGTCTGGTGCGGCCCTCTCCTACGCGGCCTTCTCTCGAGGAGCAGACAGGCGGCACCGTTGGAGGAAACAACTTGTCATCGAGAGCTGGGGGGCCACTTCGAATACACCCCGCCGCACCCCCCCCCGCCTTACTCTTGAGCAGTTGTTCCCGGAGATGAGCGAACAAAAATCGGAATTCAAGATCGCGATCGCAATGCATTCCAATATTAAGGCCGGGGGTTGGAGGGGGGCAATTCGTTTTTGTTCGTCGGAGCGTTCTCGATGCGCAGTTGTCCTTCAACCGCATAACTTAGGATGCAACTCCTGCGAGGTTACGTTCAGGATCGGCGCCGGTACAGGTATCCCAGGTCGGAGACGTGGCCAACCTGGCGCAATCCCGCTGGATATGGTTCCTATCCCGCTCAGTCTGGCTGCCGCTCGCTCAATCCTGGGCTTAAATACTCCCGAGCTTCATCCGGCCTGCACCACCAGCTAGTCATCTGGCTCTCTCACAGGGTTGCTCCTCGTTTTTGCGAAGACCTCGCAGGAGCTGCCTCCCGACATGCCGAAGCTCCTTCTTCCGGAGGCCCGCGCGGATTCCCTGGATCGGTGCTGCATCCCCTCCCTGGCGCGCGGAGCGCGCCTACCGAGCGTTTCCTTTGGGTGGAGGGCAAAGGGTGACATCTGAAATGCCGCTTCGACGGACTTTGAGGCTTCGATTTGCAAAAGGTGGACCACAGTACGGATTGAGTTTCGAGGTGCAAAAGCCCATATGGATTTCACCCTGAGCCCTCCACCTTAAAGAAACTGCTCAGGCCTGGGGCGCCAGCTCAGAGGCGCCGCCAGGGGGGGCCTCAGGTTTGGGCCTCAGGCTTGCGCCCGCCAGGTTTGGGCCTCAGGTCGTTTTCACCAAACCACGTTTTGCTAAAGGGGGGTCTGTCCATCCCCGATGGATCGGTGCTGCATCCCCTCCCTGGCGCGCGGAGCGCGCCTGGGGCGGCAGCCCAGAGGCGCCGCCAGGGGGGGCCCAGCGACCAACCCGCGCGGGCCTCCGCGGGTCTGTGGCGGCGCCGCTCTCCGCTCCTCGGCTCCTCGGCGGCCTCCGCCAGCGATGACGCCATCGAGGCGCTGCCCCGGGGCTCGGCCCCTCGGCGCGGGCCGGGCGAAAGGGGGGGATTTGGGAAAGGGGGGGGTTACGAAATCTGCTGCATGCAGCTGGTTTCGGCCTCACCGAGGGGCCCATTCCTCGATACGGCGCCGCCTCCGGCGCCGGGAGGCGCCGGGAAAATCAGCCACGTGAGCTGATTTTCACCCCCCCCCCACTTTGCTATCCCCCCCTTTCGCCCGACCCGATCGGCGCGCCCTGGAGCGGTACAGGTCCGCCTGCCGGTCGTCGCCGCGGCTGAGCGCCTTCCGGGCCCTCAGCTCCTCGATGGTCCTCACGGGCTCCCACGAGGGCGCGAAGCGATTCGCGCTTCGCGGTCCTCGTGCACTCTCCCCCTCCTCCTCGTCCTCCTTTTCTCCCTTTGGGGGGGGGCGGCGCGAGAGCGCGAAGTTATTCGCGCTTCGCGGAGCGCGAAGCGCGAAGTTGGGAGCCCTAGGTCTTGCTCTGGGCGCACAGCGTGAAGATCCACAACGTGAGCATCGTGGACATATTCTGGGCCTGCAGCTTCGTGATCTCGAACTGCGCCTACGCCAGCCACGGGGCCGCCCAAAAGGCTTATGCGGGCCGCAAGGCGCTCGTTCTCGCTCTCACGACAGCGTGGGCAAGCCGCCTCTCGACCTACCTTTGGTGGCGCAACCATGTCTCCGCGGTTGGGGTTGGAGCCGGAGGCTCTCATGAGGATTTCAGGTACCAGAAATTCCGTGCTTTCTGGGACAGGAATGGTCTCAGCTATTGGTGGTTTAGTTTGCTGCACGTGTTCACACTGCAGGGGGCGCTCTCTTTCACAGTGGGCGCTCCGCTGCTTGCGGCCTCGACGCGAGAGCAACCGCAGCACTGGACCCTGTGGGATGCTGCAGGATTTGGGGCCTGGGTTTGTGGGTACATCTCCAAGGGGTTTACGCCAGTCCGCCGACCAAGATGAAGGACATCGCGACGATTATTGGTTGCATGTGTTTTGCCCGTTCGGCGGCATCGTAGGGAGGCTTCGGGGCCATCGTGGAGCTGACTTTAGGGCGAGTTGGAGCTATCGTGGAGGCCACCGTGGACACATATGGACTCGACCGTTTGGCCACGTCGTCTGGTGCCTGTTCAGCACCGATGAGGGGCCTCTGGGAGCACTCCGTGCCCCTGGGGCTGTCTCAGTTTTGCCTCGTGGGGCCACCTTGGCGTCACTTGTGGCGATATTTCGGCCGTTTTGGATGGCCTCCGAACCGTCTGGGGGGGGGGTATCCGAGACATCTGGGGGGGGTCCTGGACCGTCTTGGAGCTGTCTTGGGGCCGCTTCGGAGGCCAGCTGCGAGCCTCTGGGCAATCTTGGGGCCATCATAGTGCTATCTGGGGGGCATGCTGTGCCGTCTTGTGGTGTGTCTTGGGTGCGTGTGTGGACCGTCTGGACATCTGACTCGTGAGGCAATCTTCAGCCGAAAAGTTGGGCACGCCAAAGTCGCTGGAGCTCGTTTGGAATCAGTAGCGCCACGCTCCACCTTCCATCCCGTGTTTCCCCTCCTCCAATATTGGCGCGCCTTTCAAACGCTCCGTGCTCCCATAGGGCGCTCAACCTTCGGTCTCGGTGGCCGCCGGGCGCCCTCGCCCTCAATTCGGCACACCCGTCAGACGCTTCGTGGCCCCACAGGGAGCCCCACCTGCTGTCTCAGTGGGCGCCGACACGTGTGGCGCACGCGCCCCCAGTCCGGCACGCCCCTCACCACGATTCGTGGCCCTACAGGGAGCTCCAACTTTGATCTCAGTGGACGCCGAAGCACGGCGTCGCCGCGCCCATTTCTGCACATCCGTCACGGGCATCGTGGCACCAACGGGAGCTCCACCTACGGCCCCAGTGGGAGGGTCTGCATGGCGGCGCTGCCGATCTCAGCGCACCCCTCACGAGGCCACCTAGAAGGTTCCACCTCCGGCCTCAAAGGCAGGGTCCTCACAATGCCAGGTGGCGCCTTTGACGAGGAGCATTGTCTCTAAGGGAGTTCCACGGACGCGTTCACTGGGCGTGTCCCACGTCTTCGGGGGACCCAAGGGCTCCGCCTGTGGTCCCAGTGAGAAGGTCGGCATGGCGGCGCCGCTCCTTTCGGCACACCTCTCACGAGGATCCCGCACCCTCAAGTGAGTTCCACCTACCTTTGAAGGAAACAAATTTGCATCAAGAGTTGGGGGACCACTTCGAATGCACCCCCCGCACCCCCCCGGCCTTAATATTGAGCAGTTTGTCCCAGAGATGAGCGGCCGGAAAAGATCTGAACCCCAGATCTCGATCGTAATGCATTCCAATATTCAGGCCAGGGGGTGGAGGGGGGGGAATTCGGTTCTTTGTCGTGGGAGCGCTGTTGATGCAAAACTCTTCCCTTCAACAGTATGGCCTCCGTCGGAAAGAGAAGCGCTGCCCCGCGCGTTTCGGCGTACCCCTTGCACGCTCCGCTGCCCTCGGGAAGCGCTCCGCCCACGAAAAGTTCACGCGTGCGTCACCCCGCCCCTTGTCGGCACACCCCTCGCACGGGCCCCTCATAGTAGGAGCGTGTTTCTTCATCGCCTGGGGCATAACGGGCATTATAGCCCCCGGCGCCCCCCCTATAACGGAACGCCCCCCCCCAAGCGCGCCCCGGGCAGTGCCGCCGTGCGAATCGGGATCCGCATAGGCGTCCGCATAAGAATCCGCGTAGGGATTTGATCCGCAGTCGTCGTCGTCGTCGTCGTCGTCGTCGTCGTCGTCGTCGTCGTCGTCGTCGTGGTCGTGGTCGTGGTCGTGGTCGTCGTCGTCGTCGTCATTGTGGCTCGTCGTTCGTCGCTCACCGCTCACCGCTCATCGTAGTCGTGCGCGCGGACGCCGCTGGAGCCTGCTTTTTTCCAGGCCGATGATGGCCGTCATCTGGGGGGGAGGAGGGGGCCGATGACGTCACTTTTCGCGCTGGCGGCGTCTGGGAATGCCTAGGAATGTCCGAGGACGGGTAGCAGTAGCATGTAAGGCGCGATCTGCGCCACAACGCCTGTGTATACCACAGTGCCTGCGCGTACCAAATCCTTATGACAAAGGATCGCCAGTGGATTCCACAGAAAACATGGGTTTTATAGGATTTGGAAAGGAACCCTTCTGGAAAATGGAGTGCCGCTGGAATCTACAAGTCCTCCCGAGTCCCCCCGCATCATCCTAACTCCTCCCACCTGCGTCCAGGAGGCTCCAGCAGAATTGGCCGTCCGAGAATCAAGTGGACTGTTTCGTTCGACCATTCTGCGGTTCACGCTGAGATGCGCAATTGCGCTGTAGCGCCGACCCGCACGACAGGGGGGAAGGGTCAGCGAGGAGGAGGAGGAGGAGGAGGAGGAGGAGGGAGAGGAGGAGGAGAGAAAGGAGGTGGAGGTGGAGGGGGAGGGTCGAGGGAAGAACGTCGCATTCTATTATCTGCACTTCCCTGGCGTTGCGTTTAGCTGTCCGCAGCAGATCCTCACCTACATGCTCCTTCTACCTGTCCTGTGCACGCAGGCACTGTGGCGTACACCAGCGTTGCGTTGCACGCGGATGCTGTGGTGTAGACGGGCGCTCTGGTGTGCACAGGCGCTGTGTTGCACATGGTTGCTGCGGTGTACACAGTCGCCGTGGTGTGCACCGGCACTGGAGCACGCAAGCACTGTAGTGTACACAGATGCTGCGTTGCACACGGCTGTCGCGGTGTACGCAGGCGCTGTGGTGTACAGGCGCGCTGTGGCGCACGCGAGCATTGTGGTGTGCACAGGCGCTGTGGTGTAAATCGCCACCTGCATGCTGCTCCTACTCGGCCCCGGTCATGCCTACGCAGTCCTGGACGCCGCCGGCGCGGAACGTGACGTCATCCAAGGGTGGGGCGGAGCCGCTGACGGCCGCTAATCCCAGAAAATAAAAAAGCGGCTCCTGCGGTGCCGGATCCACACGGCGGCGGAGGGAGGCGTTACGTTATACCCCTCCCCGCAGCCTTCCTCCTTTTGTAACGTCCATTATCGCCGAAAATAAAGACGCGCTCTAGAGGCCCATCGCCGACGGTGCTTGAAGTTCTGATGGGTTGGTTACGCTGCATATTCGGGGGACCTCGCGTGTCCCCAACATTGGTTTCCTTTCTCGCGTCCGCTGCGGGCTCGATGCGGATGCGGTGCGGATGTGGGGTGGCGTCGACGCGAATTTCTCACGGATTCAATACGGATCCGACGAGTCCGATATGAACTCGACACGGATTTGATGCGGATAGGGCTGCGACGGGACAGACAAGGCCCCCCGACGGCGCAACATTTGCAACATAAGTTCGGTTTTTCCCCAGATTGATTGTCTCGCCCTCGGGGGTTTTCCGCTTGGCCGCTCTCGGAGTCTCTTGTGGCAATTTTGGCACTGCCTCGGGGCCTCGATATGGGGAGAGTCTCGGGGTCAATGTCTGCCATCCTGCGCCACTCTCGTGGGGGCCGTCTGCCTTCTTAGGGGCAGTCTCTGGCCAAATTTTAGGGGCCACTGGAAGCCTGACTTGCGGTGCTGGGAGGCCCTTCGGGGCTTGGGAGGTGTTCTGAGCATGGTCGCGATGCTGGCCTGCCCATAGGCCCGCCAAATAATGTTCCAAAGAACGTTTCGCGGTTTTGCTTGAAGTGTTCTTAGACCATTTCTGGCTTAGGGCTGGGATTGCCTTGTTTCAACCAATCGGCTTCATGTTCTAAGAACATTGCTTTGCTCTTAGAACATTCTCGAGCTTTAAGAGGATTTCGTGGTAGGCTTATTGAGATGCCGGGACGGTCGGCCCCTGCCCAATGTATGTCGCACCCCTGCCGCCCGCCATGCCGCCCCCTTCCAGCAGAGAAAGTTTGCCTTCCAGGGACAGGAGGGGGGACTCCCGAACATCTCACACGCCTCCCCCACCTCCGGCAAGCGGGTGCCGGCGGATTCGAGCACGCTGGCGATCTGGAGCTGACGGCCTTCAGATCCAATCCCAGCAACAAGGGCACCGTGCTGGCACGCGGCCTCTGGGCTCACACGAGGCACCCGAACTATTTTGGGAACGCCTGCATGTGGTGGGGAATCTGGCTGATCGCCTGCGCGGCGAAGGGTGGCTGGAAGTCTCTCTACGGGCCGATGCTCATGACGTACCTGTTGACCGATGTTAGCGGCGCTGCGTTGCTAGAGAAGGCACTCTCTAGCAAAAAGACAGGGTTCGGGGATTACAAGAACGCTGTTCCAGAGTTCGTTCCGTGGAAGCTTCTCGGGCTGAAGTGAATGCCCCAACACTCGCCTGGCATCTTTGCATGGACACTTTTGCCATGACCGAGCGCCAAGAGTTTGCGGTAGTTTGCCGATTGCAGTTGCCCGGAGAGGCTTTGGCCATGGCGTGTTCATACGAGCGCCGCGGTGCTGAATTCATTCCATGTTTTATAGAAGATACCCAGTGCGGACCATAGATAACCTACCCCGCCGAGCCGGCGGCCTTTGTGCGAGCTCTCTCATGCGCGGATCACATGTTCTGCTCGTTTTCCACTTGAGCGACAACACACATCAGGGGGGTCGATTGCGCTGGCCATTCGTACGCAAATCGCCCGCGGTCGGTCTCATGTGGGCGCCTTCTCCTCCGCTTGATCTGTCGCGCTGGCGGCCTGCGCAAGCCGTTGCAGGAGGGCGCCGTTTCGTCATGCATGGGGCTTCGCTCGCTCACCTGGATCCTTGGAGCGCTCCTGGGTCACATCACAGCCCGTCTGCCCGAGGCCTCCTCCACCCCTTCGCCCGCGCCCCCTGCGGCAGCAAGGGCGGGAGGGCAGCGGCGGCTTTGGGAGGGCTCTCGGCTCCCTGCCTCCTACTCCCCTCTCACAGCTGGGACACATGCCAGGAAACCCTGCTTGCCTCCAGGGCGCCCTGGGTTTCTTGGGTTTCAATGGTTTTGCTATAAAGAGCGTGACGTGACGTCCCCACGCCAACAGTTCACGGGCGTCCTGGGGTCGCAGGGTTGGGTTTCTTGTGGAAGGTTTTTTGTGGACTGGCCTCCACAGGTACTCCTCACCCCGAAAGCGAAGCCCCGGTTAGGTGCGCGGTCCCAATCTCTCCCTCTGCTCCATCCCGGAGCCGCAGCCTGGCCGACGTGTCCAGGGCAGAATGAAGCGCTGAGCTCTCTGTGTGTCTGCGTCCCGTGGCCAGCTCCCCTCTTCCGAGGTCATCCGGAAGAGCCGTCCGCCGCTCGTTCTCGTCCTTCTCCCTCTCCTCCCCCCTGCTCTCCAACCTTCCCTTGGGATGCAAGCCCTGGGATGCTCAGTCCAGAATCTGCGCTGGTATGTCAGGCCTAAAAACTTGCCTAATCCGGGGAAGGGCCCTGATCATTTTCGTGCTTGTCAGATGTGCTTGTGCGTCCTGGGGGAGGGTACTCTCGAGTGATCTTATGGTTTGGGGTGTTTTGGCCTGCGGATGGTCTCATGTTCTTGAAGGATATTCCTTTGCCAGAGGTCAGACCGTATGCATGGACCTGCCATCGACAGTTTCATGGCCGACAGGGGCCCGATGATTAGCCCACCCCGCCCTGGAGCATGCGCACTCGCTGACAGAGACCTGTCGCCGGCCTCTCGGCGATGTGCCGTCGACCCGAGCTGGATGTTTCCCCCACCCTCAGCTGGTCCCCCCCTGACGCCCTCCCCAAATCTAGGCCTAAATGTGGGGTCGGAGTAGATGGGGTCGGAGCATCGTCGATGCATCGACGATGCGGCTTGATGTGGAGCCCGATCTTCTCCACGACGACGTCGCCGATGCGTCGCCGACGTCGGCGATGCGTAGCCGATGCATCTCCGATGCATTGGCGATGTGGTTTGATCCTCTGACCCCGTCTACTCGGATCCCATCTAGGAGGCCTCTATCAAAGCATCGGCATAGGGGGAAACGGGTCCTGAGGTTTTCGCCGTTGTCGGGCGCCCGGGCTCCTGCGCGGGCCCCGGGACTGTCATCAAACGACTCGCGATGAAGAGCTCGTCCCGGGGGAAGGCCCCATGGTCCAGGACCCGTTTCCTTCGGAAAGCGTTTTCCCCATGGCAATGCCAATAGGAGGAGGAGGAGGAGGAGGAGGAGGAGGAGGAGGAGGAGCAGGAGGAGGAGGAGGAGGAGGAGGAGGAGGAGGAGGAGGAGGAGGAGGAGGAGGAGAGGAGGAGGAGGAGGAGGAGGGGAGGGGGAGGGGGAGGGGGAGGGGGAGGGGGAGGGGGAGGGGGAGGGGGGGGGGGAGGGGAGGGGGAGGGGGGGGAGGGGGAGGGGAAGGGGGAGACGCGGACGAGGAGGAGGAGGAGGAGGAGGAGGAGGAGGACCTCCCAATCTTCCCCTCTCCCCCGTCTCGAGGCTCCCGGCCGGCCGCACCCCCCGCCCATTCACAGATCAGTTACAGGTCAAATGGGGGGTAGTAGGAGGACGGGCAGGACGCAGTCCGTCCGTGCGCAGCCTTGCTGGGATCGGGCGCGAGCCCTCAGTGCTCAGCACCGACCCCCCGGGAGTGACCGTTGCGAAGAGGAGGAGGAGAAGGAGGAGGAGGAGGAGGAGGAGGAGGGGGAGGGGGAGAAGGAGGAGGAGGAGGAGGCGGCGGCGGCGGCGGCGGCGGCGGAGGCGGCGGCGGCGGCGGCGGCGGCGGAGGAGGAGGAGGAGGAGGAGAGGTGTCGGGTCGATGGGTTCACAGAATGACCAACTCATGACCTCGATGGTCTCAGGGAGGCAGTGTGGCAGGCAGTGCGCAGCCGTGGCGTCGCATATGGACGGCTCCTCGGGATCCTAGCGTGAGTGGTTTGGCAGTTGTGCACCTCTGCGTCGGTGGCCCTCCCTTCGGAGACGGAGGAAGCGCGGGCGGGGACAATGATCGGGTTGAATATGCACAGGGGGGCGCATCGACCTCGAATGGTTGATACATCGACGATGCATTGTCGATACCAGGGCGAGGCGTCGACAATGTATGGACGATACCTGGGGTGGTCTGCACCGACGTTTTTACGTGGGCGATGTAGCATCGGCCACTCGAAGACGATGCCTATCCCCCCCCCATGCTCCGCCCCCCCCACCGCTGCCCCTCAGAAGCGCGGGCGGGGCAGGCGGTGCACGTCTTCGGTGCCACGGGCCTGGGGTCGCCCGAGAGGACGGACAAGTGGTGCGAGGCTGGCGCTCCCCGGGGAGGAGTCGGGTGCTGCTAGAAGTGCCCCCGGGCCCGAGGTGCCCCCAGGATGTCCAAGGAGGCCCCCGCCGCCTCCAGAGCACCCCTCACGAGGCAGAGGGCCCCATGGGGGCTCCACAGTGGAGCGAAAGCCTGGGGGCACCTTGGGCCAGGGGCACCTGTAGAAACCCCCGAAGGAGGGGGGGGGCGGCCCGCCCAGGTCGCCCAGGTTCGGACGAGGACCCAAGTCGGGACAGCGGCGGCCCAGCGCCGATCCAGCAATCCTTCGCGGACCTGCCAAAATTAGTGCTTATGCAGTTTGCTCCTCTACGGTAGGTTTATGCGGCGATGGCGCGCCGGCGACGCTGGCGAAGGCGGTCAAGATTGAATCCTGCGACGCTCAAGCACCGATGGACACGGTGACGCCACTGGACCCGACGGAATTCAACCTTGAACGATCGGGGCCGCGATGGATTCAAGATTGAACGATCGATGCGGTATCAAAAGCCTTTGCGCATGCCGACGCTGCACGAACCTACCGTAAGCGGGTGGAAAAAAGAGGGAAATTGATGATGATGTTGATGATCATGGTGATGGTGATGATGATGATGATGATGATGATGATGATGATGATGATGATGATGATGACGATGACGATGACGATGGCGATGGCGATGGCGGCGATGGCGGCGATGGCGATGGCGATGGCGATGATGATGACGAGGTCGATGACGATGATGATGATGATGATGATGATGATGATGATGATGATGATGGTGGTGATGATGGTGATGGTGATGGTGATGGTGATGGTGATGGTGATGGTGATGATGGTGATGATGGTGATGATGATGGTGATGGTGATGATGGTGAGGATAATGGTGATATTGATGATTGTGATGATGCTGCCGATGATGATGGTAATACTGATGATGATGGTGATGGTGATGGTGATGGTGATGGTGATGGTGATGGTGATTATGATGATGATGATGATGATGATGATGTTGCTGATGGTGATGGTGGTGATGGTGCTAGTGATGATGATGCTGATGATGGTGGTGGTGGTGATAGTGATGATGATGATGACGATGATGTTGATGAGGGTGAGGATGATAATGATAATGATGATGGTGATGATGATGATGCTGATGAGGTTGATGATGCTGATGAGGTTGATGATGATGTGAATCGTGCTGAAGATGATGACGCTGATGATGCTGCTGCTGATGATGATGATGAGGAGGCGGAGGAGGAGGAGGAGGATGAGGATGAGGACGAGGATGAGGACGAGGATGATGAGGATGATGAGGAGGATGAGCATGATGAGGATGACGAGGATGGTGCAGACGAGAGGGAGAGCGATCGGATGCATATTGGGTTCCCCCTGCGAGGTGTATTTGGGTCCTGCCGTGGCCTCTCGGGGGCCTCTTGGGGCCTCTTTGGGGGCCTCTTGGGGTCTTTGTCCAGAAATCTGGGCCCGAAGCCCTCCATTGGAGCGCCTCTCAGCCTCGCGTCGATGGCGACGGGGGATCGCGCCACATCGCCGATGCATCGGCAAAATGTCGCTCGAAGTGGAGCCCGATCTTCTCCACGCCGACGGCGCCCTGCATCGCCGATGTCGCCGATGCATCGCCCATACATCGGTGATGCAGTGGCGATGCGGCGCGATCCTCCGACCCCAACTACGTCGACGCGCCCAATGTTCAAGGCAAATAGCCCGAAGGGACCTGCGGGCAGTACTTCGCGGCACGGTGGCGGGAGTTGTTCATCGTATCTTTCTTCCCTCCTCGCTCGTGTCCGTACTATTGTTCCTTGTTCGCCGTTCCCCCTCTTGTAACCATCCTCCCAGAGTACCTTCCATTTCCTCTGCAATTATATAACTCCTGAACGCTTTCAGCGAGCTGTAAATGATGATACAGGAGAAAACCCCAATCATGGGGCTATAGTTAGGGCTATACGGCTATAGGGCTATAGGGCTAGTGAGCAATAGGGCTACACGGTTATAGGGCTATAGAGCTGCAGGGCTATAGGGCCAGAGGGCTATAGGGCTATAGGGCACCCCCGGGCACCCGGGCACCCGGGCACCCCCGGGCACGCCCGGGCACCCGGGCACCCGGGCACCCCCGGGCAGCCGGGCACCCGGGCGTGCGGCGAAAATCGGCGGCAAACCGAACTTAACCATATGAATCCGCTAGGACCCCTACCGAGGCAAGCTCTGATTGGGGAATCAATATTCCCTCCTGCCCACACTGGAGCCACCTCGGTGGCGTCCCGCAGTCTCGGAGAACTTCTCCCGAATCCGACTTAGGCGCATCTTCCTGCGAAGTGCGGGATGTGGAGACGGAGTCGGAGGAGGGTGACGAGGTAGGAAGCAGGAGGGCACGAAGGACCAGGAGGCGGCGGAGAACGAAGGAGGGCAGCGTGGTAGAGGAGGAGGAGGAGGAGGAGGAGAAAGAGGAGGAGGAGGAGGAGGAGACATGGAAAAGGAGGAGGACGAGGAGGAGAGGAGGAGAGCTACCAAGAGGCAGGGAGGGATCACGGAGGAGGAGGAGGAGGTCGTTGAGCAGGACTGGGGGAGCAGGAGTGGAGGATGACGCTGTGGGACGTGCAGCGGAGGAACGAGGGATGCGGGAGGCCAGCAGCCCCAAGTTCCGAGCTTGTGGTGCCTCGGGCCGCAGACGGAAGGTAACCCCCGAGCTTTCACGACCTCCAAACGGAGGGTGGGGCGGAGAAGTTGCAAGCGGCTGGCAGGGCTCATTTCGACTCCTCCGATTCGATTCGATTCGATCCAATTTCGATCGGTTCCGATTCCGATTCGATTCGACTTGGGATTCCGATTTGGATTCCGATCTCTCAATGGAGGCCGACTAGCCTGTCGATTTCCGCTGATTCGACGTTTCCCGATTCGGCTGCCGATGTTCGCCGATCCGATTCATTTCGATCGCCGATCCGACTTCTCGATTTGATTATGGGCTTTCCTAGCGGCTGGGTGGGCATCGGGCTTCGATGGCCCGAGGGTGGAGATTCCCCCCTCCCGACCTTCCAGCACATCTTTCTCAAGAGATTATCTAAAACAGCTTGCCCCGTGCATGAAGGTCCCGCGGTGGTTGCGGAACTTGTCCTGGGCAGTACGAGCAAGGGTCTCACTGCCCTTCTCAGTCATAGGGGGAGTGTTTGGCCAACTGCCGGGGGGTCCACTGAGGCTGACTTGCCACAGTGAGAACACACGTGCATGTTATGACGACCCAGGACTCTGAGCTTGGACCAGCTTGGATGAGGAGGAGGGAGGACGGAGGCAGGAGGCCATCCACCTCTCCCATCCTCCCCCTCCTCCTGTCATGCTCACTCCCTCCTCTCTCGTCCTTCCTCCAGCCGCCGTCCCGGCTCAGGGGCCTCGGGTGCAGCTACCCAGTAGCTGCGCGCCCCTCGGGACGGGCGGTCATACGCGCCAGCCAGGGCCTCCTCGGCGCTCCCTGGCAGGCCGTGCAGCAGCTGACGTGTGGCCAGCGCCACGGGTCGTCAGCCCACGACCAGCGAGCCCGCCTGGCACAGGCGAGCCCGCGAACGCCGCAGTCAAGCTCGGGTACTGCTCAGAGTGGCTTCAGCACAAGCCACGCTCGCATCGCACCACAGCAGTCCTGAGTACGTGCATATGTCCAACAAGGCAGTATGGCAGCGCACCACATCTTCGTGGTTCTGTTCGCGCTGTGGGGTTTCACATGCTGCTTCCACGGCTTGGTGCACGACATGTTTTCCAGATCGCAAGGGATTGAGTCGTCGGCCTTGGCGTCGAGACAGATCCCTATCACGTGCTGCGTCTCGAGGCGCTCAAGAGCGAGAGCCTTCCGAGGCAGCATCGCAGGCAGCCAGCATACGCAGTTCTACCACTACAAGGAGAGTGGCGACGCTCGAAGAGGCCAAGGCTCATCGCCTCTGGACCGAGCCACCGCCACTCGCAGCAGACAGAGAGGCCCACAGAGCTCACCTGAAGAGTGCCATGAGAGCTGTGGAGCAGCAGATTCAAGCACAAGAGAAGCTTTCCACAGATGCCCCCCTCTTGGAGTCCAAGAGGATCGAGTACTCGGTCTACCAGTTCATGCATCTGTATTCGTACCCGCCGAAGGAGAGAGTCTGCAATCAGCAGGCGTACTTAGAGCGCATCGGCAAGCGCTTCGAGGCAGCGCAAGATGCAGAACGTCAAGCAGAGCTGGCCCTTTCGGCAGCCCAGAAGCATCGAGAAGCCATGTCAATCGAACTCAATCAGGCGTCCGCACTGTTGGAGAGCTTCAAGACGTTGGCCGAGCAGGAGAACCCTCACAAGTCCGTCACGTTCGAGGAAACGCCCACGCCTGTCTCGGCAACGGCCACTACACCTCAGCCGCCATCGCCTTTCGCGCCCACAGCTCAGGTGCCACCACAGGTCATTGCAGATCTTCAAGCCAATCAGAACGCCATGACATCAGCATTGACAGCGCTGCAGGGATCCATCGTGACGATTCAGGCCACACTGAGTCAACTCACTATTCAATCGCAGCCAGCCGTCCAAGCAGCGCCGCCTGCATCATCTCCTACTACAGGGAATGCAGCGCCGACCGGTGGAGTTGCCAGCAGCCCAGTGGCAGCAGGCTCCGCAGCAGCTCAGCGTCCCACATCGCACATCGGCAAGGGCGGCGTCATCAAGACGCAGGGCAAGGTGAACGCGGCGAGGACACGCTTGGAGCAGGCCGCCAAAGCCCCTGGGCAGACGCGGCTATCACTGGGCCGTTCTTCGAAGGACGACGACAGCCTCGAGCCGCCGCACAAGAGCATCTGCCTGCCGCACGAGGATGGCGAGGAGGAGGCGCACTCGGACGCCATGATCGAGGACGAGGACGTGGAGCAGGATGGAGCTGCAGGGGATCGTGCAGCAGTTTTTCACTAACCCGAGCAGCCAGAGCAGAGAGCTGGCTGCCACCAGGTCGGGTGGATATGAACGACAGTCAGTCTATTCATCAGGAGCAA